AGCACCCGCCAACCAAGCCCAGCCGCCAGCCAAGCGCAGCCGCCAGCCAAGCGCAGCCGCCCGCCCGGCCCAGCCAGCCAGCCGTCAGCGAGGCCCAGCGAGGCCCAGCCAGCCAGCCAGGTATGACCCGAGCACGTCAGCCCCGCCAGCCGCCAGCCAACAGCCAGCTGACCGTCCCAGCCAGCTGCCAGCCGTCCGCCCATCCAGCAGCCACCCAACACAGCCAGCCAGCAGCTGCCAGCCAAATACAGTCACCTCACCGCTTGCTTCCGCCCCGCTGCCTTGCCGCTGCTTCCGCCCTGCTGCCTTGCCGCTGCTTCCGCCCTGCCGCTGTCAATCATCGGAAATGTCGGAGAGGCCCTCTCCGGCGTCTCCGATGATTGAGGCCCTTGCTTCTGCTCCACCTCATGTGAGTTTGTGCTGCTCTTGTCCTTCTGCTGCTCTGCTGCACGCCGTTGCTGACTCCTTTGCTCCCGTCTCTCTTTTGCCTGCTCCTCCCTTACCTTTCTTTGCTTCCGACATGCTCTGCCGCTGTTGCCTGCTGCCGCACTGCCGCCTGCCTTCCTGCATGCTTGCCCCGCCACTCACCAATGCCATCGCTGCGCCGCTGCACATCAGTGTAACTAGATTTTGCAATACAATGCTGGTAGAATACATACGGCTGTGGGTGCGAGGGAGGGCCTACGGTAAGCAGGCCGTAGGATGCCTACGGCCAAAAATGCTGTAGGTGGCCCTATGGCATCTGGGTGCCGTAGGGGATTAACAATCTCCTACGGCACTGCCATATCGTAGAATGTCTACGATTTCCAAAATTGTAGGAAAATCTCTGCCCCTACCTATGAGGTACCGTATTGCAAATTGAATGGTAGATAGGATACAGGTGTGGGTGTGTGCTGGGCCTGCGAATGTAGGAGCAACACTGTCCTACAGCCCTGGATGCATGATAGGGGTCCTACGGCCCTGGGAGCGTAGGGGTCTTACGGCTCAAAGGTCGAAGTGGTAGACCGGCTAGCTACGGCCCTGGGGGTGCAAAGGAGACCTCCGACTCCCGAGGCCGTAGCTAATTCCCTGCCGCCAGCTATGACATCGAGCCGCGTCGGTCCCGGGATCCGGGCATCACTTGAGTGATGCGCGTCCGAAAGGCATGCCCGCGGACCACCATCCATTCCACGCGTTACCTACCTCAAAAGGACCCGCTGATGTTGAGACCATTCGGCTCGATTCGCCTCATCCTGTTCGATGCTTTCGACACGTTGGTACAGCCCGTGACGCCGCCGTTCCAGCAATACGTGAGCGCGCGGCTTGCCCATACGCCCGCGCTGCAGGGCGGGGACAGGTACGAACCCGGGCTAAAGACCACCAAGGATTCCGACTGATGTCCATCAACCTGCTTCCGCTTGGACAAATGCTACACTCTGCATTCGCATCAGGCTGAGGAAGCACGCAAAGCTGGCCTTGGATTGAGCGATGAGAACGTGGCAAAGGCCTTCAAGCAAGGTGAGCTGAGGCAACCGTCGACGTCCCGGCGCCGTTCCGCCGTGAACCTGACGTCCCGGGTTCCCTGATGCTTTCCGGCGTGTTTCTCGACCGCTTCGACAGCATTCCGCAGTCTCTCTACTTCGCATCCCAACTATGGCCTGGACACCGGTCTGACCTCGCCCGACGAGTGGTGGCGGCTCGTCATATCCGAGACGTTTGACCCCTCGCATCATCCGCCACCGCATCCCGTCACGCAGTCGCAGTTTGAAAGGCTGGTACCCGGCATCGCCAACCGACTCGTGCGCCGCTTCGGGACCAGATATGCCTACCGTCTCTTTCCCGATGTCGCCCCTGCCCTGACCTTGCTGTCGCGCCGTGGTATCAAGATGGCCCTGGCGACAAACAGCGATTCGAGGATCCTACAAGTCCTGTCGGAATTCAACATGGACAGGTTCATCGACCTCGACTACCAGCACGCAAAATATCACCACAGGGGGGGCGGCGGTCCGACGTTGAGCTATTTCCAGCGGTGCCAGAAGCCAGATCCGCGCTTCTTCCACGCCGCTGTCCAAAGGAACAGCAACGGGCCCATCGAGGGACAAGGCGTGCTGTACGTCGGCGACCAGGTCTTTGAAGACTTTTGGGGAGCAAAGGATGCCGGCCTGGAGGCAGTCTGGCTAGACCGGCAGGGCGAAAGGCATCAGCCCCCGATGCCGGCCGGCGATCAGGCCAGAGGCACGCCGGAGGAGCTGGAGACGTTACGGCAGCGAACAATACACGACCTCGTACAGCTAGTCGAACTGGTCACCTAACCAGCCGCATCCTCGCCGAGACGGAGGGCGTCTCGTTCGCTCGCACACGCAGGAATCGCGCATGAGCAAAAACAGACGAGCCCTTCTTCATCTTTTGCGTTGCGCGTAGGGACAAGGCACGGAAACGGTCGTAGTAGTACAGGATCGGTGATTATAGAGGCGCATGCGAGATCAAGGTTCTTAGTCTGAGATGAGGGGCATCGTTTTGCTCTACCGCTGCTGTGAGCAGCGAAGCCCTCGGAAGGTGGGAAAGGGGAACTCGTGCCTGCGCGCGACTACACGAACTGTGTCGACGACGGCCAGGACCCGTGACGCTGCCGCTGTCAGGGTTCCTGCCTCTCGTCTCTGCTCATCGTGACGGGCAACTTCGGCGTGACGGGGACGGCCACAGTCAAGGCGACGACTGGAGGCCCGGGCCGTTCTTTTCGACGTCGTCGAGCATCTGGGCGCCTCGCAGGCTGAAGGCCAGGTCCGGATCCACATCCGTCCACTGCGGTACGACGCGGTGATGCTGAACCTTGTTCTCGGTCGTGACGGAGGGATCCTTCTTGTCGGAGCTCGAGGCCTCTTGGTTATCGAAGTCGGACGGTATGCCGAGCTCCCCGTCGTCGCCCTCATCGTCGGTGAGCTGGCTGCGGTTCGTCATGGCGGAGCGATGAGCTCGTAGCTCGACCGTTGGCACACCTAAGCTGTTGGCACCGTGCGTCCGGCGCTGGGTGCTGTAGGCATCGTCGTCGGCGGCGGTATCGCGGGAGCGGGTATAGGTGTTGGCCGATGCAAGCTCCTGTCCGATGGCTTTCCAGAGGTTGATGAAGATGCGGCAGGAGAGGGCGCTCGAGAGGGTGATGTAGAGGTTGGTGTAGGGCCACATGCGGCCGTCGCGGCCCACGGCGAGGTAGTAGATGGGGATGGGCAGTACCAGGATGAGCGAAACGACGTAGTAGAGGAGGTTGTCGAAGCGGAACATGCGTTCCAGCTTGGAGGCGGTGCGCTTCGCCGTGGCGCGGTGGAGGCCGACAAGAGAGAGGACGAGAATGGTCGAGTCGAAGACGGGCAGAACAAACCAAGGGACGTAGGACAGCACCGGGTGTGCGCGGAGCCGAGGCGGGATGTTTTGGCAGGCGTAGAGGCCGTTGGCCTGGCTCTTGCTGTTGAGGTTGAAGACATTCACGAAGATGAAGACGGGGGTGGCGAGCCAGAGCAGGCAAAGGGGCACCATGACGGCGCGATTGAACCTCCAGAGCGCGAGGCAGCGCAGCAAGAGGATGCCCGTGCTACCGGCGATGGAGAGGACGGCAAAGACATTGCTGGCCTTCTTGACCGAGGAGCAGGCGAAATCAGCATTGTGCCAACGGTCCCTACCCATCTCCTCTGCGTCCGGGGCAAAGTTGCCGACGAATTGGTGGAGCACGGCAGTGATGGCAAGCGAAAAGCCCCCGATGCGTGAGCAAAAATAGGCCAAATGGGAGAGCTTCCAGCGGGAGCGTGTGCGGAGGAGGCGCCATTCCCAGGGCAGGTGGAGGGACCAGTCTGCGACAATGATGCCGAGGCCCATTGCCGCGGTCAGGAGGAAGGGCAAGGTCGAGTTGACCTTCTTGACCGATGTTACGATGAGGTCGTGCGGGATGTTGCGTCCATTGTCGGGCACGAGGCCCGTCTGAAAGGCGGGAACAGCGGTCACGGTGAGTGTCTGCAGGGACATGGCGGGCGACGCTAATGGTGAAGGATTACGACGGCGATGCTGCTGTCGAGGGCTATCGCGACGTCAATCGCCTGAACGCCTCGCTGCGCCTAGACGGCAAGATGGGCTTCCGGACTCGCTAGACCAAATGGATCGAGGTGGGAGCGTGGTTGGCTTTGTTGGAGTGAAGATGTAACGGTGAGCGGACGGTGCGGACGGGAAGGGGAGGACTGAACGATTGGCTACTGCTGAGAGGACATGGTGAGAGCGCCGCGGTCGTTTGACGGAGCAGAGGCGCAGAGACAAGCGCCAGAGGTGCGGGTTGACAGCTTCGTGCGCTTGGGAAGATGGACGCCCTAAAGCGGCGGCGAGGATGGCGTGGCGACGATGACGATGACGGCGACGATGGCGGCGGCGGCGGCGGCAGCGGCAGAGATTGCGACGGCAGCAAACGACGGTCGTGGTGGAGCGTCAAAGCGTGGCAAGCTTGCCAAGTACGCGAGCCAACCTGTCGAGCGGGCCTGCGAGGCTAACTCTCCAGGCGTTAGGTTAGGCTCCAGGCGTTAGGCTGCCCGCCCGCTCTCGACGCACGCTACAAAGTCAGATCCAAAACGTCGAAAGCGAGCTCACGGTTCCTGTTCCGTACGAATAATCCAACGCAGCCGGCACCTCCAGGCTTACGAGACTCGGCCGGCCTCCCAGGGGAGGACCCCGCGTCGACGGCCCGCCCTTTTGGGTGCGGGGTGGGGGCGTTGGGGGTGAGCTGTTCCGTCATGGCCGCCTCCGGTTTGCCCGCGAGCTCGCCAAACGAGCATCGAGGATGCTGGCGATTTGGGCGAAGGCCGCTCGGCGACTCTTTTCTGGGCGTTCTGAGCGCGCTTGCGAGAGACGAGCCTAGCCAGCATGCTCATCGAGCGCCACGCCTACCGACGGCAAGAGCCAACTGACCCTCGAGCTGATCGAATTATTCCCGGTCAAAAGCCGCCATCGTCGTCGACTGCTGCACTCCGTACTTACCTACTCACCCACACGCGGGCTGGTACTCTTTCTGTATAACCGCTGCACTGGCTTGGTGCTGATCTATGGGGCAAGGTGTTGCCGAACGAGGGGTGCCAAAGCGCAGCAGAGTGAGAGACTAATAACTTTTGGAAGTGGTTTGCCACCGTATACCGTAGCTGGCTGCATGGAGGACCCCGGTTGCGATTTCCAGCCCCGCGGCGACGTTGCCGGCCATCCCTGCGAGGCTGCCCAGCCTCTTGGTTGTGCCGCTGCTGCTTGGCCCGGTGTCGCCGGCCCCCGCATTTGTCCGCTTTCCCGCCACGACAAGACGAGGCAAGGCGGCCAGGCCTTTGGGCGCGGCAGCAGGCCGCACCCCACGCATCCGCGCCCCCAATCACCGACCGCCTATTAAATAGGCCTTGACACTACCCGGCCTCCTGCCCTCGCACCCTTCACCGTCCTCCGCGAACCTCTCTCGCTATCGGAACCCGCCCACTCTCTTACCCCATCCGACACGCAGACCGACAAACATGCTCAAGTTTGACGAAGTTGCACAGCACAACTCCCGCGACAGTTGCTGGGTCATCGTCCACGGCCAGGCCTACGACGTCACTGAGTTCCTTCCCGAGCATCCCGGAGGAGCCGGCATCATCCTGAAGTATGCGGGTAAGGATGCCACCGAGGAATACGACCCCATTCACCCTCCGGGCACGCTCGAGGAGAACTTGCCCAAAGACAAGTGCCTCGGGCCCGTAGACCCGGCGACGATTAAGAAGGAGGACAAGAAGGAGGAAAAGGCCACGGCAAAGAAGGCCGAGGGCGGCATCCCCCCGCTCGACCAGTGCCTCAACCTCTTCGACTTTGAGGTCGTCGCAAAGACGGTGCTCAAGCCCACCGCCTGGGCCTACTACTCGTCGGGCGCTGATGACGAGGTGACGATGCGCGAGAACAACTCGGCCTTTGGCCGCATCTGGTTCCGGCCACGCATTCTCCGCGACGTCGCCAACATCGACTACAGCACCTCGCTGCTCGGTAACAAGAGCTCCATGCCCGTCTACATCACCGCCACGGCGCTCGGCAAGCTTGGCCACCCGGACGGCGAGAAGAACCTCACCGTCGCTGCGGGCAAGGAGGGCCTCATCCAGATGATTCCCACGCTGGCCTCGTGCTCGTTTGACGAGATCGTCGACGCCCGCGTCAACGACTCGCAGGTCCAATTCTTCCAGCTCTACGTCAACTCGAACCGCAAGATCACCGAAAAGCTCATTCGCAAGGCCGAAGATGCCGGCGTAAAGGGCCTCTTTGTCACCGTCGACGCGCCCCAGCTCGGGCGGCGCGAGAAGGACATGCGCATGAAGTTCGACGATACCGGTTCCAACGTTCAGAACAGCAACAAGGACAACGTCGACCGGTCACAGGGCGCCGCTCGCGCCATCTCGAGCTTCATCGACCCTTCGCTCAGCTGGGACGACCTCAACTGGCTCAAGTCCGTCACCCGCATGCCCATCGTGCTCAAGGGTGTCCAGACCTGGGAGGATGCTGTCCGCGCCGCCGAGCTTGGCCTGGCCGGTGTCGTGCTGTCCAATCATGGAGGTCGCCAGCTCGACTTTTCGCGCTCCGGCATCGAGGTGCTCGGCGAGGTTGTCGAGGCCCTCAAGGCGCGCAACCTCTTCCCCAACCCCATGTTCCAGATCTTTGTCGACGGCGGCATCCGACGGGCTTCGGACGTCCTCAAGGCCGTCGCTATGGGAGCCACCGCCGTGGGCATCGGCAGGCCATTCCTGTACGCCTACAGCGCCTATGGCTCCGACGGCGTCGTCCACGCCATCAGGCTGCTCAAGGCCGAGATGGAGATGAACATGCGCCTCCTCGGCGCCCCCACGCTCAAGGACGTCGTCCCCGAGATGGTCGACACCCGCGCCCTCTCGACCCACGTCAACTTCACGCCACCCTCCCACGGCTCCCAGATCTACGAGAAGCTCTCGACCGCCGTCGGCATGCCAAACGAGCCCGCCAACAAGCTTTGATCACGCCCGCTTCCGAACCCGTCCAAACCCAGACCCGCATGTACATGTATTCATATCCAGCGGCATCATAGTTGATTCGAACATCATGCTCAGACCGTGCTCAAGACGCTGAGAAGAGACTTGTTCTGAACAGCCAGGCCCTTGGCTGAGGCACCGAGATACTCAGACTTCCATGTATGAAGGTAACTTACATGTTGCTTTGATGAGGAAAATTTAATGTGTACGTTGATTTGGGGAGTGCAGACATAAATCGCCTCGTTAGCGTAGTTGGATTATCGCATCTGTCTAATACATGGTGCCTCAGCGTGAGCTGAGAGTTAAACAGAAGGTCACTAGTTCGAGCCTAGTACGGGGCAATTCCTTTTTGCAACTCTTCGTCATTTCGTATGGGCAGGTTCAGGACGCAATCTGCAGGCGAAACGACACGGGAAGACCGCACCATGTGTGCAACGCGGTGGCGCAAGAGGCTAGTCTATGGCGATGGCAGAACACTGTCTGGGCTGAGAATGGCACGTCGTCGTCCGGCAGCAGATGCGACTCGAGCCTTGGTCGTGCCATTCCTTCGAACAAAGGGCCGTCGCCGGCATTCTGATTGCGATCAATATGAGGCGTCGCCTCGAGCGCCCAGGGCGATTCGGCATCAGAGCTTGCTCTTGTGCTGTTCGAGTTCCTCGGCGCCCTCGATGGCTTGGCAAAGCTGTAAGGCGTCAAGCGGGGGACACAACGGGCGTGTCAGCATTGGTGTAAGCTGTTGTACCTTGGAGGGCGCCTGGTCGTGTGAGGGAGAGACGGTCACTCACGCTGTCGACGGTCTTGACGACCCAGAGGGCGCCCTCCTCGGTGGCGAGCCACTCGAGGCCCCTTTTGTTGGCGTCGGCGGGCGAGATGCTCTCTGCGGCCTTCATGAGCCCCCACACATGGCTCGTGACTTGCGGGCCGACGCCGCCCTGGGCGCGCAGCGCAGAGATGGCGACGAGCGAGGTCCTGAGCCGGTTGACCTCCCACTCTGGCTCCTGCTTGAGGTGGGCGGGGTCCGAGGGAAGCGAGTACGTCGCCGGGGGTGCAAACAGCGGGCCGTACTCGCTCTCGACGATGAAGACGGGGAGGTCCGGGTGCGAGGTCCCGAGGATCTTGAGCAGCTTCTCCGAATGTGGCGTGTAAATGTCGTCCCATAGGCCGTAGGCGGCCTTGTGCACCGCAGGAAGTCGATCCGGAGTGATGTGCCTGGTAAGGGCGAACGGAACGGGCGGAGGCAACGGCGCGCTCAGAAGATGGTTGATTCGTCTCAGGTCGCCAAGCGGGGCCAGCAGCGCCACCTACCTTCGCGTTTCGGTCGGCAGTGCCTGTGCCAGTTCCGGGTCCTGGTCGACGGCCTTCCTCAGCGCAGCGAGGTTATTGATGACTTTGGGGATGCCGATGAAGCCGATGCACTTGAGACCGATCTCGCGCATCAGCAGCGCCCTGCTCTTCCTCGCCTCGAGGTCGTTTGCCAGATCCCGCATCGCGACCCGGTGGAGCGACTGGAGCGAGCCCGGGTTGTTGAGGGTGAGGATGGTGGCGGTCGCGACGGAAAGCCACTCGCCCCATCCGAGTCCGCGGCGGATGGCGTCGGCCTCGAGCGAGACAAAGTGCTTCTTGAGGGTGTCGAGTCGGGGCGTCGGGCTCGGATCCGCCGATCTTCCGGCGGGCAGATGGCGAGTGGCCGAGAGGGCCGAGACGCGCGAGGGAAACGTGGGCTGCTTGAGCAGCGACTTGAGGGCTTCGGGTAGCGATCGACCTTTGGACATGGCGAGCAGTGGTCGTGCGTGCAGGGGCGGGCTTGTAGGGCGGGTCGAGGAGAAGGGGAATGCTGAAACGTCTAATGAGAATGGGACAGCGAGGGTGAGAAAGGAGGTGACGCGATGGCAACCTGTGTTGGCCGGCCATTCGGGCCGTCTTTATGACCGAGCGTCTGGTTGGAGACATCCCCCCGCACACCCTAGAAACGAAAACTGAGAAGGTCGGCCGGCAGGCAGATCAGCCAGAGGCCGGCCACCAGCGTGGGGTTGGCGCGTCTGCTCGACATGCGAATCAGAAATCAGCTATGTAGAAGTGGTGTCCGAGGTGCGGCGTGTGGCCCCGACGGCGCTGGCCGGCCAACCCCGCGGCTTACCGGCATCTTGGTCGACGCTCTACCCCGCCTTCCCCCACAGCAGTCCTGGTCTCCCCGCTGCCACCCAGGGGTCAACGCTAAGGACTCGGTGGCGGTGGGTGTTGCTCGGCTCTCGCCGCCAGAGGCGTTACACACGGCAGGCAGACGGCATGCAACATAGCATTCTGGCTCGGAAGCTCTCGGACTGTATCGATGCAACGTTGAAATTCTTAGTGTCCCAAATGCCATGCAGTGTCATGCTTGGTACGGGGGATCAAAGGCTGCCCGGACCGGCGGGAGTCGGCGCCGGTTTCCACCGAATGCGAGAAGCAGCCTGACCCCGTGCGCAAGGGTGAACTTGCGCTCTAGCCTGTGCCCGACGTTGGCTGGTATGTAGCGTGATCCGTATCCGCACCGCCGGTCTCTGCCGCGCACGCATCAATTCCTTCCCAGACCATCACCCGGCCAATCGATCACGTCGGTGCTAATCAGCATCGCAACGAGGCAGATTGCGGCCACGAGCAGCACGCTTGCCCACATCCAGGCCGACTCCCTCGCCGTGACGGCTTCAAAGCCGTCAGGAGATCCCATCTTGCCCAGTCCGCCGCCGCTCTCGCCTCCGGAAGTGCTGCCGAATTCTCGAAAGTAGGTCGGCTTGGATGCCTCGAGATCCTCTTCGTCCGATTCGTACTCTTTGGCCCTTGGAGCATAGGGCGAGGCTGCATCGCTCTGGCCGATGCCTAGCCCGCGCAAGAGTCCGAGGCGTGATGGCGACTTGTGCCCATAGATGGAGCGGTCCGCCGCGCCTTGCGTGCTATGCGATGGCGCACCAGAAGCGCTGGGTCCGGCGCCCTGTTCCAGATCGATGTCCGCGAGCGGCAACGTGTCATCGGCGTCGCTGAATTCTCCGTACGGATCTTCAGCGATGCGGTCCGGGATCGAGTCAGCACGCGCCTTGCCCTTGGAGAGGAGGCTTCCGCTTCGCGAATGCGCCGACCGCGAAGCAGACGGCGACGATGGTGTCAGGTTGTCGTCTTGATGGATCTCGGGCCACGAGACGTCGACCTGACCGTTCTTGAGCCTCGACATTGCCACGGCCTCTTCGGCCTCTTCGTCGAAGCCGAGCACCCGGTAGCTGTGAGCGATACTGCGTCTTCCGACATTTCCCGTCGAGGTCGGGACAGTGCCTCCGAACGAGTAACGCCGGATCGAGGCCGTCGATAGGCGGGGTGACAGGGCCGCACCGGCGTCATGTTGGGCAAGGTATTCGGGGGCGGTGCTGCCGCCAGACCCCGTGCCTATCGTTAATGGGGCGATGGCCGCGGCGTGCCGTGAGCTGCTGCTCGAGGCATCAATGGCGGCGCCCTTCTTTGGGGTGGTGTCAGTGGATCTGATAAAGTGGGTGACGTCGGAGCGCGGACCCGGGTTGGGGGACGAGGCGCTTGGAGAAGGCGAGCGCGGGAGGATGCCCATGAGGCCGGAGGTCGTCATGTTGAGTGGGCCCTTGTGCCGATGCGGTGCTGCCGACGGGGCGCGCGCGTGGCTTAACGAGATCGGAGAGTGACGAGAGCGCTGTCCATTGTAGCCGGTCGCCTGCTGAAAGCGATATGAGGGAGCTGGAAAGCGGCGATGGCGGGTGGCACGAGAAAGGTGCGTCGGCGCTGGAGACACTGACGCTCCCCCGGTAGCAGAGAAGCAGAGGTGGAGGGTAGCTTCCAGAGCCGTGAAGAGCGAGAATGATGGAAGATCGGCTGATGGACAAGGGCGAGGGCGAGGGCGAGGGGCGAGAGGAGAGGGGTCGGACGTGAGAGAGTGAAGATGGTAGCAGGGACGACTGGAGGATAACTACGGAAGGCCCGAGCGAGTTGGGCGGCACTCCACGCCGCCCGCACCCGCCGCCAAAAGCTTTCTTCGGCAAGTCGACTTTCTCGGCAGACGGGAAAGGGTCCTTTGTTGTTGGACGGTGGGCGACCGGCTCCGAACCCCGGGGGGGGGGGGGTTCTCAGTCACGCGGCCGGCCCCTGCCTGCCAGCGCCCGCCAACGGTCCCCCTGACGACGGCTGTCCTCTGACTCGCTGTTCCGCGGGCTGCTGGCCTGCACCGGCCTAGTGAACCCTGCATGCTGGGGGGGGTTGCATAATCACGCCCGCCCGCGCGCCCGCCCTCGGCGCTTTGGCAGGGTGGCGCCAGACGGTGCGACGGGCAGGGATCACTACGACGACCTGCGATGACCAGCCGCGACAAGGGTGCTGGCAGGCTAGGGATCATGCCATGGTCCGCCTGCTTGCGACGACCGCCGCCTACGCCGCCGCCGCTGGTTGTGTGACTCAGGGCAATATGACGCCAGCTGCCATCCAAAAGGCAGGCAGGGTTATTGGCAGCGAGATCGCGTTATCTCGCGGGCGCTGCCTCCACCTCGCTCTGGGAAAGCAAGCAAGCAAGCAAGCAGCGTGGGTGCGTGGGGTGCTATCGCGCGCCCCCCAACCTTGAACCCCCCCCCGCCTTTTTTGTTATGCGGAGCGAGCTCGGGGCTCGACCTACCGGGCTCCAGGAGTCTTTCAGCTTGCTTTGCTTGCTTGCTCTGTTTGCTCTCGGGTTCACCGAGACCGCTGGCGTGCAGGCAAACACATACAGGCCTAGGGTGGTCGGTAGGACCCGCTCCTCGGCTGCGGCTCGAGGGTCGCGACCTGCCTGTTCCAAAAGCGTGCCTGACCGTCCCCGCGCTCACTACCGCCACCCTCGCTCCTGACCTCACTCACTCACTACCACCATCGCCTTGCCTCGCCTTGCCTCGCCTCGCCTTGCCTCATATTGCCTGCTCTGCCTTGCCCCGGACACTCTTGCTCCTGCCCGCCGTGCCGGCCTCGACCGCTTTGTTCGACACCCCTCGACGTGTGACCTGGATCGATCCTCCTCGCTCCTTTCAACGCATCGTCGCAACGACGGCGCACCCCCAGCATGGCATTCATCCATCATCCGAGAGCAAGGCCCGCTCGCGACCGCCACTCACCCCCGCCATCTCACGAACCAACATCCGCGCCTCGAGCCTCGTACAGCAAGACCAGTCAGGACAATGCACACGACTGGAGCATCGTCTTTCCCGGCAGGGTAAAGCAGACGGCAACCTCGGCCCATGACAGCGACGAACCCCTGAGCGACAGCGCAGGTGAGTGGCTGCCAAAGACGCGGCCCTCCATTCGGGACCTATCTCCACTCACCAACCCTCTCTTTGCGTCTTGGCAACATTGTCCGCCCGCGTTTCACCCATCCACCAGCCTCAGCCACACCGAGCTCGCCCGCAGATCCCTTCCAGCCAGACCCTCAAACAGGACTGGCCCTCTCCCTCCCCCCGCTGCACGATGGCACGGGACGCTTCGCGGGGGCCAGCGAGACCTCGGCCTCGCCCGCCGCCGACGACGTCGTCTCGTTAAGGTCGCCGCTATCGCCGCAGTCGGACATCTACACCGAAAGCGTGTTCAGCGCCACCGACTCGCACGACGATGCCGACGGAGAGGTCGGGTTTGGCTCCGGCTCCGACTTTGAGTCCGACGCTATCGCGTCTGTTCCCAGTGGCCCTACCGCGGCACGGAGACCCCGCTCAAAAAGAAGATCCTCCCGGCTGAGTGCACGCAGCGATGCCATCGAAGCCTCCCAGGGCGTCCGCCCTCCGCACCCTGGCAGGCATGCCGACGGCGAAGAGAAACCTTCGGCCACCGCTCGAGCAACGCCTCAAGAATCGAGCCTCGCCACGTCGCTGGGCGCAAGCCGCGCCGGGTCGTGGTTGAGCGGCAACCAGAGCATCGCAAGCACGCTTGACCACGTCTCCGTCGTGCCGTCAGTCGCATCGTCGCGATCGCATCTGGGACCTGCAGACAGTCAACATGGCCACCGAAGCTGGCCGGGGGGATTGAGAGCGCTGTCCGTCATCTCAACTTCGGACTCGGAGCAAGATGCGCCTTCTCCGACAGCCGCGGAAGTCGGTCGAGAAGCGGACGCGGCCTCCTCTGCGGTGCAGGCCAGGTATGAGGACGAACTCGCGTCCAGCAACCTGGCCCAGAGCGCTGGCCTTGTCCCCGGAGCCGGTTCACATCTTCTATGGCGCCGACCCAAGAGGAGGCACCGGAATCCGGCCGCTGGTCGTAGCAGCAAGAGGAGCAACACTAGCCAGAGTCAGAGCGCGATCCATCGCAGTGGGAGCATCCAACCACCATGCGCAGTCGTCAGCGAAAGTGGCTTGAGCGGACGAAGGTCGAGGCGCTCGATGGCCGGCAACGCATCCAGGCGCGCAGGCTCGACATCGGGCCGCTCAATACCGAAAGAAGGCCCAGCTGCAAGCACCAAGCTGGTCCGCAAGCTGCTCAAGAAGATCTTCGACCTCGAGCCCGAAGTCCTGGACGCTTTCCTCAGCCGTGACGCCAGCGTTGATCACGTCGACGGTCGCCCGAGGCCTCTGTCCACCAGTCTTTCGTCATCTCGGGATCTAGCGGGCCCAGGCTTCAGTCATGAGCGAGGACTGGACGCGCCGCTCGCCCACATCCCTGCACCTCCAAGGCGGGCGGGGAGCAGCAGCGGTGACGAGCGTCAGCAAATGCTCCACGTGGGACGATCCGCAGACGATCAGGCTTCGGAGGACGCGAGTGATGAAGATGGAGAAGGCAGCAAGACACCACGGGCTTCTCTGCACGAATCGCAGGACTGGCAGCGTCAAGATGTGGCGTTGATCAACAGTCCACTGTTCGACCTGACCACGTCCGTCCGCGGAGAACGTGCCCCTCTCAGAGCCGCGACCGAGCTCGGCCTCACAGCAGAGGCGCTTTCGCGCCGCCGGACATCGTCGGGCGGATCTCGGCAATCGCAGCAGGTCGCGGACGGGGCTCGATCCATGCTCGAACCGACTACAATCGAGGCGCTCCAGGCATTGGTCAACAGCATGATGCCGGTGCCGATGCCTTTCCGTATCCTTGGAGCGCTGGCGCGCTCGCTTGGATGGTCCCGTAGCTTTTGGGGCGGCGGGGGACAGGATGCCGACGAGGCTGCTTCTCGTGAGCAAGCCGAGGGCGAAGCGGCCGAACTCCCCGCCGTGCTCGACGATGACCGGCGCTACCGCTACGATCGACTGCTCTCGGTGCAGCAAGCCAAGGCATGGAGCCGGAGGTACCGGGGCATTCAGCTCGCAAACGACCAGCCGGAAGACTCGAGCATCGACGTGCCGGAGTGCTGGAGGGGCGACGAGCATCCAGCCCTTGCCGGAAACAGCCCATGAGAGCGACATCGGCTGCCCGCTCCGGCTTGTACAAGTAATGTGACCTGTAGTGTGCAACGCATTCGAAGTGGTTCAGGCGGCCCCACGAGCGTGATGACCTAGGAATACCGGCTTCAAGACTTTGGCGGGCAGGCGGAGGGGCCCCAGAGCTGGCGGTGATGGGTGGCCTTGGTGCCAGAGTTGTCTTGTGGCCGTTGTCCGCTTCGGCGGAGTCGCGAGCCGCTTGATCGCAGTCGGAACTCGCGACTCGGGACAGGGTTTGGCTGGAGCGCCGCGATTTTTTTCCTCCCCGGCCTGGCTGCCAGCCTGGGCCTTCTCGTGAGGGTTTCTTCTCGGCCTGCGCCCCTCTTGGCCCCTCTCCGTCCCCTTGCCGACCCACCACTCCATCCCTGCGCTCGACTCGGTCCGTCCGCCCCCTCGCACCCCCTTATCATCTGAGCTACATATCAACATGGTCTCGTTCAACTGCGATGCGTGCGGCGATGTGGTCAAGAAGCCCAAGCTGCTTCAGCACTACAACCGCTGTTACGCCCCCGTCACCTGCCTCGATTGCTCGTAAGTGCAGACGAGAACCCGCGGTCCGGCAGTGGATCGACATGACTCCGGGAGCTTTGTCAATTGCTCAGCCATCCTCTCCGCACCGCTCCTCTTTGACAACACGAAACAGGATGCAATTCAACTCGCCGAACGAGTTCAAGTCGCACAACAGCTGCATCTCCGAGGCGGAAAAATACCAGAAGACTGTCTACAAGGGTCCCGGCGGCGCAAAGGGGGCGCAGCAACGCCAGCTGAGCAGCAACGCTGCCTCGTCACCTGGCAAGCCGTCGCAGCACGAGACCAGCAACGTCGCCACTGCGCCTTCGAGGAGGTCGGGTGAGGAGGCTGAGGACGCGACTGCAGCCTCGACCAGCGAATCTCCGAGCAAGAAGGACAAGAAGGACAAGAGGAAGAGAGACGACGCCGCTGGAGTGGCGGAATCAGAGGCCGCCACGGAGCCCAAGGTCGACGACGATCGAGAAGTTAAGAAGGCCAAGAAGGCCGAGGAGAAGGGCAAGAAGGGCAAGAAGGGCAAGAAGGACAAGAAGGACAAGCAGAAGGACAAGAAGGACAAGAAGAAGGATAAAGAGGTCGCGGCCGCCACAGGCACCAGTGGCGACGACCGCTTTGATCTCTCAAAGTTTGAGAAACCCACGCCCGCCAAGGTGCTAGCCGGCCCGGCCTCGGATGCAGGCGGTGATGCCGGAGGCGATGACGACGACGACGACGAAGGCGAGCACGAGCAGGATGACCCGATGGACGAGGACAAGGTCATCAAGCCGCTCAATGCCGAAGAGCTCGAGGCGTTCAAGAAGAAGCAGCGCAAGCTCGGCATCATCTACATCTCTCGCATCCCTCCGGGCATGACGCCTGCCAAGGTGCGACACATCCTCAGCAACTTTGGCGAGGTCGGGAGGATGTACCTCAAGGATGGCAACCAGAAGCCGGGAGAATACGGAAAGTGTGAGTGTGCTGCTGCCATCGAATGGCGTGGCGATTCTGTCCGGACACGCAAGGTTCTGATCCTCGAATGCCCCCGGTCTGCAATCGGTGCCTCCCTGACGATCCCCGCAGCCAAGAAGAGGTCGTCTGCCTTCTACACCGAAGGCTGGGTCGAGTTCCTGTCCAAGAAGGTGGCCAAGGCCACGGCCGAGATGCTCAATGCGCAGCCCATCGGCGCGCTGGCGGCGTCAAAGAGCAAGAACGGCGGCCTGCTCGCGGGCGGCGTCAAGGCGGGCAAGAACACCAAGCGCTTCCAGGACGAGGTGTGGACCATGAAGTACCTCAAGGGCTTCAAGTGGCACATGCTGAGCGAGCAGATGGCCCAGGAGCGCGCCTCGCTCACAGCCCGGATGCGCACAGAAATGTCGCAGTCGGCCTATGAGCAGAACGACTACCTGCGCAAGGTCGAGCGCGCCAAGATGCAAAAGTATAAGGCCGACAAGAAGCGCAAGCGCGCCGAGGAAAAGGGAGAGGCGCTTCCCGCCGACACGGCGCCCGAAAAGGGCTTCAAGACGTTCAAGCAGAAGCAGCCCGTGGTCAAGGACGTCCGCGACCAGCGCGAGGCCGAGGCGTGAGCGTCCATGCTTGCATCGAACCCTGGGCACCATCTCTGCTACGTTCAGAACGCCGTCGCTTTGTGTATGCACGTAGACTGGCGCGTCGACGCGCTTCAAAGCGGACCTGCCCAAGGAATGCAAGAGAGATTGTCGGCCTAGTTCTGGTCGCCGATGCGATGCCCGAGCTCCTCGAGGATGACCTCGTGGACCACCTTGGCATCCGCCCGGCCCTTGGCCATCTTCATCACCTGACCCACGATCCGCATGGCCACCTTGAGGTTGCCCTTCCGAACCTTTTCCGCTTCTTGCTTGAGCTCCTCGATTGCCTGCCTGCACAGGGGCAGCAGGTCATCGCGGCTGCCGAGGGCAAGCAGACCGCGCGACGAGAGCAGGTCGAAGATGGAGAGCGTACCGATGTCGACGCCGGCGAGATCAGAAGCTGGCGCGTCGCTACTGGTGGCTTCACCCACGCTCCGGGCGCGGCTGGAAATGAGCTCTCCAAGAAGAGACTTGGCCGTGGTCCCCGTCACCTTTCCGCTTTCGACCAGATCGATGAGCTCTCCCAGCTGCGCCGGAGGAATGTGGTCTTCGCTGAAGGCTAGGTTGTGCGTATTGAGGCCCTTCATCAATTCGTGGATGATCCTGTGAGAGGTGCGGTTGGGAGGACAGTAACCGGGTCAGCTGATGCTCCACAGGCTTGACGATCGCGATGGGATGCTGGCGGCGGTGGATCAAGCGGTCTAATCACCAGTTCACCGCGATTTGAGGATCCCTGCCCTGAGCGATTCGCTCGAAGTAATCGACCGCGTCGCCGCATTCGACGGCAGTCGGAGCCACACCAGATGGCGTCGGAAATCTGCCGCTGCCTTCGTCCTCGGACCCGACACGCATGAGGACGTTGATGTCGCGGGTGTTGAGGGCGTACTGGCTCTTGAGTCGAGCACGACGCGCTTCGGGAAGCTCTGGCAGCGACCGACGTACGTCGTCGACCTGAGCCTGGTTTGGGCCGGGAGCCGGGAAGGGGGCATCCCTGAACGTCAGGACGAGAGCGACTCCAGGCACAGAAGATGTCATCTTGGGAACGTAGCCCATCTGCTTACCTCGGTCAGTCGTATCGGAGGAAGGTTGGGATCCGGCATGTAACGGTAGTCGGGGGCATCTTCTTTTCCTCGCAGCTTGAAGGTGGTCCCACGAGCCTCGTCATAGCCTCTGGTCTCCTGCTCGATCCTGCCGCCCTGTTCCAAGATCGCGACCTGCCTCTGCGTCTCATGGGCTGCAGGAACGCGTCGGAGCACCGTCAGCTCAGCGCGTGGTGGATCCGCAACGGCGTTCGTCGTGGCGGGTGCTCACCGATGGCGTTCATCATGAACCTGACACTGTTGAGGTTCTTGACCTCGCATCGCGTGCCAAAGGGCTCCCCGGCACGGTTGACCGAGACGTTGACGTCGCAGCGAAGAGAACCCTCCTGCATGTTGCCGTCAGAGGCGCCGACTCTCCGGAGGAGCTCCTGCAGCTTGCGGACATAGGCGCCTGCCTGCTCTGGCGAGCGCATCTGCGGCCCGCTAACGATCTCCATGAGGCCGGTCCCGGCACGATTGAGATCGACAAAGCTGCGAGATGTCCCCCTTGCGGTTGCGGCGTCGGTGCCATCCTCTACTGTCGCGGCATCAGACCGGGAGACGGTGCCGGTGTCGTAGTAGGTGGATTTGGCAGTGTCCTGTTGGCCAAGCAGCAGCGTGTGGACGGAAAGTCAATCGAGGTTGCAGGTTGCGAGGCGTTGATATTGAAAGAGCCAGCCTGGCACCGTATGTGCTCACCTGCTCAAGCTGCAGCTGTTCTACCTCGACGACTACTTCGTCTTCGGGGCCAGGAAGGTGACCATCCTCGAAGCTCAAAGTGATGCGCCCGTTGCTTGCCAGGGGTGCTGAAGAAGGTCAAGGTGGTACGTACAAAGAATTTTGTTGAGCGGGCAGCGTCTTGCAGAGAGAAGGGCGGCGAAGATGTCGGCCCAGTACCCACCGTACTTCTGTGTGATCTGGTAGCCCGCTGGAAGGTCAGAGTAAAAGTAGTGCTTGCGATCGAAGCGGCTTTCCTGCCGAAGGTGGCAGCCCAGCGCTATTGCCGCGCGGATCGCAAGGCGGAGCGCGGATCGGTTGAGGCTGGGAAGGGTGGCCGGATGAGCGGCATCGAAAGGGGCCACGAGGGTGTTGGGGACCGAGTTGGCTGAGGGAAGTTGAGCGGCTGTGGTGTGGGCAGGGGAGTAAGGACGAAGATTCCGAAGGGCGGGTCTGAGCCTGGTGCGCGCTAGGTTGCCTCAGGAAGACTGAGAGGAGGCCGACGTACTGCTGAAGAGCTTGTGGCGGTCCTTTATCTGGGCATGGCACTCTACGCCGATGACAGCCTGCCAGCCTGGAGGGAGCGGTGGATAGCGGGAGGGCGAGACTTTGGGGCTTGCGGATGGAGCGGTCGTGGAAGGAGAGGAGGACGGCGCCGATGCCTCCGGCGACCTTTGCTTCTTGCTCTTCTTGGCCGAGAGGGGAGCTGAGTTCGAGAAGCGTCTGGCCAGAGTTGGCGGTGGATGCTCCCGTGCCGTCGCGGCTGGTAGCGAGGTTGCGAAGCCGGCACGATGCGGCGCCAGGTGGCTTGAGGATGAGGCGTTGCTGCAGGCCGTCCGAGTTGACGGTGGACGCATCGGCCGGCGTCGAGCCAGGGGTGGCGTCGAGGTCTCCGAGGCAGGCGCAGGAGCAGCGGCAGCAGCCATGGCGCCACGCAAACGTCGAGCTGGGACGCGTGCGTTCATCGTGACCGACGGCGAGAGTCGGCTGAGCCGATGCGCCAGAGCAACAGAGGAAAGGCGAGGGGGGCGGCGGTTGGCACCTTGGTGATGGAAAGGCGAGCGAGAAGAAAGCTGGGCCGGCCCCCGCCCCGAAGCCGGAACCAGGTCCGAGATGCGAGACTTTGGACTCGACGCTGGCTCGGCAGCCCGGGAGCTGCAGCCAGAGGCAAGCAAGCAAGCAGGCAGGGGAGGGCCAGACAGGGCAGGGTGGCACGGGCGAGCCAGGGGCTGAGCGCCAAGCCAGCCAGCCTGCCTGCCAGCCAGCCTGCGGTGCATGGTCGGGTCAGCCGCTGCGGACCAGTTGCACCTTGCACCTTGGCCCAGCCTCTCTACCATCACAGATCGCTCTGCCACTTCGGCCTCGCCCGTTTCACATCGTTCAACGGCGTCTCGACTACGGTTGTGCTCGCCCTTCACATACCGGCATCGCACCGATCCGTACCGCCCGCCACTCCATATCAACCACCTTTCGTTTGCCACCGTAGCCGCCACCCTTGAGCACTGGCTCTCGTTTGGCCTCGGCATCACCATCCGCGCCTGACCGTTCAGAACCTCTGACAACTGAGCCTCGTCATCCTCGCAGTCGCGCTCAATATGGCGCCGCCAAATCGACACGGCCATGATCAGCAGCCCCTCCTGCACGACGACCACCACCACCATGACGTCGAGGCCGATTCCCGCTTCACCATCGACGATGACATCGGCCACAATGACGACAGCAACGACGTCGGCCCCCAGAGATCTGCTCGGGCAAACGCCGCACCAAAGTATCCGCCGCTGCCGCCCTCTTACGACGACACCATGCGCATAGACTCGCAGTCCTCAAAGTGGAACCCTGCCTCGTGGTTTACCCTCTCGCGCACCACCAGAGAACACCTCCAGGCATGCGTACCCCGCTCCGCCCGCAACGGACAGGGCCTCTCGGGCCTCCTCTCGGCCATGTTCGCCAGCATGCCCCGCTGCTGGCCCGCTAACCGCTTTGCACAGGCCAGCATCTTTATCCTCGGCCTCTGGATCATTGTCATCTTCACCGGCCCCAGCCTCTACGACTCGGCCACCGGCACAAACTCGCCCGTCATCCACCAGGACTGGGACTACAATCACCTCCCCGAGTCCAGACCCGCACCCCTCAAGGGCGACGGCAAAATCGTCCAGGAAGCTTCCTGGAAGCTGCAGGGCTGCATCACACAGAGCGAACCGGTCAACAGGGTCCTCTGCACAGAGACTGCCGCCTTTCTCCTCGATCCCAACAAGGCAAAAGACAGCTTCAGCTCCACGGTAAGCTCGCCCACCGGCCCGCGGTTCGGTCAGATGGGTTCAAGCCTCCTCGTCCACAACCGGCTTACCCTTTCTCACTCGTTGCCTCCATCCCCGTGACCCAGGACTCGATCTTTGTCGACGTCGACCCGTCCCGGAGCGGCCGCGAAGAGCCGGCTGGCAGCGTTCCGGGAACCATCGAGTTCGTCCACGAAGACTATCCCGGCTCGGACCGCGGCGAAGCCAAAGGCATGGTCCAGGTCGAAATCACCGCCAAATACGACCAGAAGTACAAGTTCCTCTTCGACAAGAGCTTGGTGGCAAAAACCAAGCGGGGCGTGTTTGACGAGGGCGTCGAGATCCTCGTAAGTATCGGCTGCCGCAGGTGTTTGCAATTCGTGCCGATCATCGCTGACGACCACGCGACCATCACGCATGCTGCCACCTCCACGCCCGCCTGTAGACCTACGCCAAGGCCGGCTCGGAAGACAAGAGCCCGCTCGTCTACAAGCTCCGCGTCCGCATCCCCAAGGGCATCAACGTCCCCACCATGAACTGCGACGCCGGAGCGTCCAACATCGACGCCCTCTTCGGCGTCGAGACCGAGTCAGGCTCTGTCCACGCCCGTGGAGGCGCCAAGAAGCGCACCCGCGAGGCACTGCAGAAGAGGGATAACCCCTGGGACGGGAGCTTCTACTTTGGCAAGTTCCACGCCAAGACGCAGCTCGGCCACATGTCGGCGTCCAACATCCACGCGCTTGCCGAGATTGAGCTCAGTGCGACCAACGGCAACCTCAAGGTCGGCGGCAAGCTCGTCTCTCGTCACGTCGGGGCACGGTCCGCCAATGGACACATCACCCTCAGCCCTGGAGCGATCGTCGAGGCCTACTCCGACGTCCTCATGCAGACGTCCAACGGGCGGATCAGCCTCGAGAAGGACTCGTCGATCCGGGCGACGACGATCCGGGCAGAGACTGCCAACGGCCCGATCGAAGCGTCTGATGCGACGCTCCACGCCAACCACACGCTCTCACTCCACTCGGACAATGGGCGCATCGAGGCGGCCGTGTCGGTGCATCGCGCGGACCTGTCGAGCCTCGACGGACCAGGCCTGGAGCCGACTGAGGTCGTTTCGGTCGAGGCCACTTCGGCCACGGGACCCATCAAGCTCACGTACAAGGAGCACGAGGCCGGCGTGCCGCTCCACTCGAAAGCGGTGAGCGAGCTGGCCAAGATTGAAGTGCACCACCACAAGGAGTTCCAGGGAGCCTGGGACCTGCGCGGCGCCACCCAGTCCAAGATCCGGGGACCGGGAACCAAGGACGGTGCCCTCGACAGCGGGCGCAAGAGGCGGTTCGTCGTCGACGCCGACAACTTTGGCTGGATCAATCGGCACGCGCGGGGTCGCATCTGGTGGGAGCGCGAGGGGCAACAGGGGCAGATTCTGGCCGGGGCGCGCTCCCAGCTCGCCACGCAGCTCGGCATGGCGATGGCCTTTTTCGAGTGATGTCCGGGGTCGTCCATCTCTCTGCTGCACGATGCCCCTCCTCGCTATCACCCTGCCACTCTTGCATGTGTTCTTGATTCCGCTTTCCGTCGTCCCGTCGAGCCTCTTTGACACACCTCATTTGCGCCCACGGAACCCCCTCGCATCGCATCTGTACATTTGACCATCTCGTCGTTTCGTCCGACGCCACCGCTCTTTTCGCCCCTGCACGGACTCTTTTCATCTTTGCAGCACTGAGCGTGCTCTGGGCGTCGTGGCACCACAGGACCGATGCAGCTTGCGAGCGGGTGAAGGCGATCTGCGACGTAAGCGGGGTCATGATTGTCGTGCCCATGGGGGGACAGGACAGGACATTGGGCAAGTATGGGTCGTTGGCGAGGAATATACACGGTGAAAGGGTAGCAGTGGGCGGGACGAAGAGGCATAATGGAGGGGTGGGGAGAGACGGAGGACCTCGATCGACATGCGCGTAAAACTTGATTTGACCGCATCGTCAGCGGGTGGCTAGCCGTGACGGGCGAGGCTGAGTGGGTGCTGAACGAGGTCTGCGGGTCTATGGCTGGCCATGTCGTGACAGTGCGTGTCCTGGGCAGAGCAGAAGGGTGACCGAAAGGGAAGCGCGGTGGCGGCTGGCGGCTTCGGCTAGGGCTAGCGGTGCATGAAGTTGATGCTGAGGTCGAGGCAGAGGAGGTCGGATTCGTCCTGATTAGCGCCGGTGATGTGCACGTTGAACTTGGCTGAAGGTGGCAGAAGGGCGAAGGGTGTGGCGCACGATGGGTCAGTCAGGCATCTCGCAGCAAGGCGGTGCGGTGAAATGGAACGGAACGGAACGGCGCGGCACGTACCGGGAGGGATTTCGCGGGGGAGGGCTACGGTGTGGGTCAGCTCGTACTCTCCCGGTGCGAGGGGGCACTGGAGTTCGGCCTTGTTGGCGCGGGCCTCTTGGCAGACGTCAAAGCGGCGCGTGAGGAGCTTGATGAGGCCGAGCTTGACGACGACGTCGGCAAAGGTGCCGTCCTGCGGATGCGGACGTCGAGACGAGGTGGAAGAAGCGGGTGAATCAAACGGCGTGCCTGAGAGCGGGGATGGGGTCGCGAGGCATGGATGGATGGATGGATGGATGGATGGACGGAAGGGGCGACTTACGCTGACCTCCTCGGAGATGGTGCCCTTTGCGCGGACGGTGAGGTTCTGGCCAGGCTTGGGCGGGTCGGGGGAGACCTCGATGCTCTGTACGTCGACGATTTCGCCTCCCGCGCCGCAGCTCTGCCAGGTCCAGGCGCCACCGGGCGGAGGGGGGACAAGTTTGGCGGGTGCATTGTCGGGTGCGGGTGCCGAAAAGGCGATCTGCTGTCCGAGCTGGTTTGCGGTATCGCAGTCGTTTCCGATGCATCCCCAGGCGGCTGCGTGGGTGGTGGCTACGGCCAAGAGGCCGATGGAAGCGGCGGCGAGGGTGGTGGCGGCGCGCATGGTCAAGTGTGGTGGGCGGGCGGGGGGCACGAGTAGGTGGAAGGGTGAGGGGATTGGTTGGTGAAAAGTGAGGTTGCAGCGAGCGGATGGATGGTGTACGAGGTGGAAGAGGGCGGTGTGTTGGCGTTGGTGTGTGCCGTCGATGCTGCGGTTGAGATCGAGTGCGGCGGCTGGTGGTGGTGACGGTGATGGAGGTGGTGGTGGTGGCGGTGATTCTCTGTGGGTCCAGTGGCTGGTGGCTGCGTTGGGTTGGGCTGCCCCCGCCCCCCTCTGGCGTCGATCTGGCGGGGCGGGGGGTTTGTCTGGCCAGGCCCCTGGGTTGCTGGTGCTGCTGCTGCTGCTGCTCGAGTGCCGGACGTCAGGCCACCCGTGGCTGGCGTGGGCTGCCCCCCACGCAAACAGGCGAGGTGAGCCCAGGCAGGGGTTGGATGTGGAGGCTGCGCAGCCCAACAGAGCGGGCAGCGGGCGGATCCGCCCGGACCAGGCCACGCATCGAGGCAAGGCAGGCAGGCCAGCCCCAGACTGCCTGCCTGTGCGTCGTCAGGGTCCGGTCCGGTTGGGAGCACGGTACGGTAGCTCTAAAATTTTCTCGCATTTCTCCTCGACTTTGCCAGAAGCCAGGCCAGCCCACCTCGACCTCTCTCTGACACCACATCTCAACACGCTCCGGTCGTTGCCAGTCTTGCATCGACTGCGCCGCCACCTTCAGCGTAGCCGCCCCACGCTCTCAATCAGCGCGCATCCACCCACACCTCCCGCATCCCTACCACCCCACAAACCACAGCCCGCCATGAAGCTCGACGCCACCGACCTCCGCTACATCTCCGCCCAGGAGTTCCGCGCGCTCACCGCAATCGAAATGGGCTCAAAGAACCACGAAGTCGTACCCTCGGCACTCGCCGCACAGATCAGCGGACTACACCACTCGGGCATCAACAAGCTCTTCGGCTCCCTCGCAAAGCGCAAACTCATCGCCAGGGTCCAGAACGCAAAGTACGACGGCTACAGGCTCACCTACGGAGGTTACGACTTCCTCGCCCTACGCACTTTCTCAAAGCGCGAGACCATCGCTGCCGTAGGCAGGCGCATCGGCGTAGGAAAGGAGAGCGACATCAACATCGTCGAGTCCCCAGATGGCGAGAGCAGAGTCCTCAAGATCCACAGGCTCGGCCGAATCAGCTTCCGCGCCATCAAGGAAAAGCGCGACTACATGGGAAAGCGGAAGAGCGCAAGCTGGATGTACATGAGCAGGCTAGCAGCAGCAAAGGAGTACGCCTTTATGCAGGTGCGTCCCATCCTCCCTTTCTCTTCCTCGTCCAGCCGGACAGACCTCGTGCCACCCATCAGCCGGGCCTCTTCGAACCGTCGCCTTCTGACGCTCCAGCTTCGCACACCGTGCCATCCTCTCCTCTCCCCTCGACGTTGCAGATCCTGCACCAGCACGGCTTCCCCGTCCCCACGCCCATCGACCAGGCGCGCCACTGCATCGTCATGTCCCACATCGACGCCTTCCCGCTCCGCCAGATCGCCGTGCTGCCGCCAGGGCAGATCCCCTTTCTCTACTCGGCACTCATGAAGCTCATTGTCCGCCTCGCAAGGTCCGGCCTGATCCATGGCGACTTTAACGAGTTCAATCTCCTCATCCGCGAAGTAAAGACCGGCGCATCCGACGACGAGTACGACTCCGACGGCAGCCAGGCGCCTCAAAAAGGCCCACGCGGTCGAGCGGCACAGCCCGAGACGAAAAACCAGGCTCGCGGCGGCCAAGACGATGTCGAGGAGGAGCTCGTCCTCGAGGCTGGCCAACGGCTGGAGAAGGGCAACGGCTTCGAGCGCGTCGTACAAGACCCCAGCCTCGTGGCCCAAGACAGCGACGAAGAGGATTCCGACGAGGACGACGAGACGGATGAGGATGAGGACGAGGAAGAAGACGAGAACGAGGAGGAGGAGCTCAACGAGCACGCGCTCGAGCAGGCAACCGTCCACCTCGGCGATAATGTCGTCGTGGAGCCCATTCTGATCGACTTCCCGCAGATGGTCAGCGTCGACCATCCCAACGCCGAATAGTGAGTTGCCGGTCCACCGTTCCAGAAAGGCAGGTTTCGGCTGGCCGAGCCACCCCGCTGACATCCACCTCTCGCCCCTCCTGCCAATGCGCCTCTCGCAGCTACTTTGACCGCGACGTCGAGTGCGTGCGGCGATTTTTCCGGAAGCGCTTCCGCTATCACTCGGACGAGTATCCCAAATTCAGGGACGTGGTCCCCCTTCCTGGCCAAGCATCCGCCCCAAAGGCAGAGGCCGGCGAGGCGGCGGCGGCGGGCGGCGACTCGAGCGAGCCTTCCGCAGATGGACCTCGTCTCGACCTGCTCGCGAGGGCAAGTGGTTACGGAGCCAACTCAAAGCAGGAGCAGGAGCTCGAGGGCGTGAGTGCCGCCAACCCCCTTGGTCTCCTGCAGATCTGGGGCACCCAGCTGACGGTCATGAACCTTTTGCCCCTTGATGCGACGCATAGTACATGGCCCAACTGCGCTTGCAAGCGATCGGCGAGCTGGAGCAGGTCCAGTTCCGGACCAGCAAAGACGACGAGGACGACGAGAACGACGATGAGGAGGACGATGACGAGGAAGGGTCACAAGATAGCGATGCGGACAGCGATGGAGCCAGCGGCCAGGAGGACGGTGAAGGGTCAGATGCGGGAGAAGCACGCCGACGTCGACCAAAGAAGGCGCCGGCCGCTCGAGTGTCGAGGGGCGCCGCCAAGAAGGCCGCGGCCGACGGCGATGACCGCCTCCTGGCGCAGATTGTTGCCTCTGACCGCGCTCGGGCCGCACGCAAGGCCGAGAAGCACAACGGGCGCCGCGCCCAGGCCGGCAAGGCGGGACGCGCGCACGCCGGCGGAAAGGCCAAGACGAGCAAGTCGAGGCTCGTCAAAGACTCTGCTGTATTTTAAACGGGCCCCTCCTGCCCGCTCATTGCCCGGGGATCATCATCGATACCATGTCTTGTTCAAATCTCCCCTCGCTCCTCCCGGATCATCGGACGACGCGAAACATTGCATTCCTTGTCGCTCGAGAGCTGTGGTATGTGCTCGCGCTCGAGCCTGCTAGCTACGATCAAGTCGAACGGAGGCCCTTTGGCCACGCGGGAGCAGCATCACAGAGGGCGGCGAACGGGCGAGCGGGCGCCCACGACCTAGACGACGACGGGCCAGCCGCGCGAAAAGTCGAGCTTGTTGATGCCGAGCCTGGCCGAGCCGTCGTTTGCGTAGTAGTGGTAGACCAGGACGGTGCCGTCCGAGTCCTGGAAGGCCGAGGCGCCACCGGGACCGTGGATGCTTCCGTGGGAGTCGAGGATGACGGTGCCGCCGCCCTGGAGCATCGAGACGCCGCTCTTGTCGGCAAAGGGACCGGTGGGCGAGCTGGAGCGCCCCACGACGACGCGGTAGGTGCTGCTGGCGCCCTGGCAGCACTTGCCAAAGGCGGCGAAGAGGTAGTAGTAGCCGCCCTGCTTGAGGATAAAGGCGCCCTCGATGGCGGTACCCTCGGCGGTGCGCTGCGCGATGTGGGTGAGCGACGTCGAGGCGGCCAGACCGGTGCTGGGGTTGACGGGAATCTGGTAGATGCCCGAACCGAACGAGCCCAACGTCAGCCAGGCCTTGCCGCCGTCGACGAGGAGCGCCGGGTCGATGGCGTTGAAGTTGGAGCCCTGCTCGGTCGAGTAGACCTTGCCCTTGTTGGTCCAGGATCCCGACAGGCCCGTCTTGGACGTGGCCAGGAACGTGGCCGAGTGACGGCTGCCAAACGACGAGCACGAGTAGTACAGGTAGAACTGGTTGTTCATGTACCTGGCGGCAGTTGCGGGGCGAGGGGAAAGTGCAGCGGCGCGTCGTCAGCAAGCCAGCGGCGAGACGTTTCACCGTCGTGGCAGAGGGACGAGGCCGGTCCTCGACTCACTTGACCTCGGGCGCCCAGATGTTACGGCTGGACTCGGTGTACGAGTCGCACCACGGCAGGCCGTTGGGGAAGGCCAGGCCGGCGTCGCGGAAGTTGGTGCGGTCGGTCGACGTCTTGATGCTGATGCCGGGCGCGGTGGCGTAGAGGAAGTAGGTCCCGCCCACCTTGACCATGGTCGGGTCGTGAACGAACGTCGCACCCGAGACCGGCCCGGGGTTGGGGTCTGAGCGAGGCAGGCACAGATGGACGAAGGACGTGTCAGTCCTTGCGCTTTGTTCGCGGCCCAGCGGTGCACCAACGTGCGAGGCCGAGAGAAATGGCACTCACATTGCGCAGCCACCATCGAGGTGGCCACCAGAACGGTCGAGACCAGCGCCGAGAGGACAGAGAACGGCGACATTGTAGGGAGGAGGGAGGGGCTAAGGTTCGAGGTCAAGGAACGAAGGAGATGGGTCTAGGACGAAGCGATGTCGGCGGTGCAATGCTTGGTGGACTAGTTGCCCAAAGGGCGCAGGCCATAGCCTTATATGTCGCTGCGCACGCCAGTCTCGAGGCGTTGGGGCACGTCGATATACCCAGCGGCGGACAGCTCCAGAAGGTCTCTGCCGCTGTCCGAGGTCGAGTGCTGTGGGACCCGCAACAATGAGGACTGGCTGGCGGGTCGTGTCGCCGGGCAAAGCTCCTTTGGTTGTCACGCTGAAGCAATGAGCATAGAATGCCGGCTCCAGCGGGTGCAGCTCTTGGCCGCAGTTGCCGGCTCGTGCGCCCGTTGCAGATACATGTCGAGGAGCGCGGCGGTATCAAGTCTGCTTGCCGACGGAGATCTCGAGCGGTCGATCAGGGGCGTGTCGTCGGGGCCTCTGCTCGAAGACATAGTCCCAGCGCGTATGTACTGCCACGCGGGCCGGCGCTGTGATGGTCAGGAGGAGAGCGAAGGCGAGTTGTCCGGCGCGGCTTCACGATCCTCCATCCGCCAAAAGGGGGAGGCCAGAGTGTCGGTTGCTGCCGAGGTGGGCACTCGCAGGGCCACTTGACCGACATCACGAGCCGGCTCGGAGGGATGCTGCTTGCATGGGCTGGGAGCAAAGGACGGCGGCCATTGGCGATCGAGCATGTGGGCGCAAGCTGACAAGATCCGCCAACTGCGCGCTGGGCGAGGCGCTTCCCACCGCTGGATGCACGCTACGAGCAGTCGGGAGTCGATCAACGCGACATCATCGTCGACCCGTTGCAACGCTTCGCAGCGATGTCGTTGGCGCCGCCGGTGGTCGCACCGTCGCACCGTCACACCCCGGAGGGCTGTACATGCCGTCGCCGCGGTCTCACTTGGTGCCGCCCTTTACCACGTCGGGGACGATTCGACCAGGCAGCAGTCAGGCCCGGCCAGGTCGATGTGGCCAAGAGCAATGAGCAGTCGGCGTGCAGCATGTCGGTCAATCCCTCTGCCGGACGCTGTGCTCGGCGTAGCACTGGAGGCGCGTGCGGGCCCGGACCGCGACCGCTTGCTTGCCTGCTCGCTCGTTGTCCCCGCCGCCGGCTCGGGGGTCGCCGTTCCGCCTCGGCTCGCGCCCAGGAGACGTGTCCTACAGGACGCAGGCTGGCCGCTCCTAACGAGCACCCGCTGGCCATACCTGCCCCGCTTGCCAAGAGGCGAGCGAGGTGCGGTGATCTCTAAACCTAAATCTTTCGCAGAAGAGCGCTTCGGTTGCAGGCAAAGGCCAGGAGTCCGGGGATCTTTGTTTGTGGGGGTCTCGGTGCCACCATGACCGGCGGGGCCATGTCGTCCGCGCTGTCTGTCCTCCATTCGTCATGACCCCCGTGTTCGGTCATGGATCAGAGCAGGGGCAACGAGAAGGTGGACAGCATCCGCGTCGGTACCGGCAGCTGCCAGGCGGGGTGGATTGTGCGCCAGCCATCGATGCTGTGTCTTGGAAAGTCGGCGACTGCCGGTGCCGCGGTCGCGCATGCGTACAGAGCGCGCCGCGCCGATATGGCGGGTCGTCGTTCTTTGCCCTCTCCTCGGCGTCAACCTGAGAAGCGTGCACGCCGGCAACTGTCGAGCAGAGTCCTCAGGGGTATGTGTACGTAGTCGTGCCGCAGTCGGCGCTGCCGTGACCTTCGAGCTGCTGCTGCTTGCTGCGCAGGTTGCTTGTCTCTTTGTGCCGGCAAGCCTGCCTGCGTGTGCATGTGCTTGGCGCTCATCGGCGGCCGTTTTGTTGTGTCGAACTGGCTGCGGCGCAGTCGACACCTGCTGCACGCCCAACGGACACCGAGGGCGTAGAAACCTGCCTGGAATATCGCACAACGGCGCGCGCAACGGGCCGCGGGCCGTGCCACGGTAGGACGGCCAGAACAGCCGCAGATCCATCAACCCTCGTCCTCGTCCTCGTCCTCGTCCTCGTCCTCGCCCTCGCTCTCGGACTGCGAGGCGGCTGCCAACCGTCTCCGAACGTTGCAGAGACGCAACAGGCAATTTTATTCTGCGATTATAATGCATAAAAGCAGGCGTCCTTACATCATCCGGCCCTTTGGCGCAATTGGCAGTCGCGTCGGCTTCCAGCTCCTTCCGGCTCACTGAGCCTCTGGCATTCCGAAGGTTGTCCGTTCGAGTCGGGCAGGGGTCACTTTTTTGGTGATTCCGCCAGTCCAGAACCCTCGAATTGTCGCTGTGGCTGAGGCCAGAAAGGCTGTTTCACATAGCGTGTCTCCCTTCCTGAATGCATTGCGATGCTTTGACGCTGACCTTTGGCAGCCGCCACCGCCTTTGTGCGTTCCACCGTCGGCGGTAGATGCACACCATGCCGGAGGCGTGGGGGCCTGCAATGACAGAGGCGGCCATGTAGACAGCAACTTGCCTCGGCCGTCTCTCGAGGTGGCAGACGAGACCAACCGAGCCTTACACTACTACTACTCGGACGCTAACGTAGACGGTCGAATGTTGAGCCTGTGAGCGTTCGAACGAACGATCCATCGGACGAACGTCTCAAGCTGACGGTCGATTGATCAGCACCACCCGACCCGCTTCTGCGCCAGAGCTGTGGTAGCAGAATGAAGCGGTCCATCGAGCTGCCGGTTTTGGCCAACCCAATTCGCTTCGCGGCAGCCTTGCCTTCGATACATCGTCGCTGAATCTCCATCTACGTCACGTCATCGCTGATACGGTCTATGCAAGCTGCATGGCTCTCTGAGTGTCACAGCGAGCTGTTCTGCTTGAACGTGCGCTTTCCCGACGAGCCAACGGGTGCAAGGGGGGGGGGGGATGCGCGACCGCGGCGGGGCGCCGCCGGCGTGGCTTGCCTGTGGAAACGGCAGACGTCTTTTGCGGCTGCTTTTCGAGCTGGATCCGCCGACGTCTTTCGCGGCTGCTTTTCGAGCTCGATCCGCCGACGTTTTTTGCGGCTACGCTTTGATGACCCTATCCTCCAACATCTCCGCACCTAAGTACCACGACCTGAAACGCTCGCTCCGCCCTTCACGGCCCAGCAAAGACAGGCTTCCCAGTCCGCTGCCCGTTTCACACTCTCCGCAATGAGGCACTCGGTCCGCCTAACGCAGGCGCAGAGGGAGGCCCGCGATCGGCGTCTCTACCGGCTGGCTTGGCAGCACCAGGTCGTCACGTTGACGAAGCGGACGCCCTGCCCCAGTGGCGTACAGAAAGGCCGGCGTGTGAATCCAAGGAGAGCTGCTGCAAACCGGCGAGACACAGCTGGCCGGCAAGACGCAGATGTACTTGGTCACACCAAGGCTCCAACCGCAGCCGCAGTCAGCGGTCCCGCAGCCGACGCAAGTGCCGCAGCAGGTCCGGCTGAGACGCCTCCACAGGTCAGCATCATGACCGGGGATCAACTGTCGGCGTTCCACGACGGCACACCTGATGTCGTCTACCGAAGAAACCTCACGCTGTCAGACGAGAATGGCAGGGTCCTGCTGCAACGCTTCGGACCATCCAGCTACGGGGTGCACAAAGCCATGAAAACGGAGATGTTGCGCGGCCGATACTTGTACGACCAGGTCGTCTTGCTTGCCCGGTGCCACAAGCACGTCCTGAATCGAAGGACCAGGTCCATCTTCCCCCACTATCACTTTGGAGCCTGGTTTCCACAAGGCCAGACGTATCTAAGAGTGACCTCAGAGACGCTCCAGCGCCGCAACAAGGACGGGCAGCTCGCCGTCGCGGCTTTCTTGGCATGGCTCCGGAACTACGTCTCGTGCTTTGTCCAGCCTCTCACCAATGTCTCCTCGGAGGCCATGGAGCACCACACCAGCTGTCAAGTCAATGAAGGAGAGCGCAACGACGCTCTTGGCCAACAGCTTCACCCCACCTTCTGCAAGGAATTCAAGCAGCGAGAGGAGCACTACAAATGGCTGCAGCAACGCCTACCCGACGCCGATTGCCTTTGTCACCCCCTCTTCTCCACCTGTTCGCCGTTCCATGGATTCTCAGAAAAGGCCCATATCGATACCAATGACCTGCCTGGTACAATCCTGCTCAACTTTGGGGCCCACGCCCTGCTCCATCTGACCGACTACGGGACCAAGGTCGAATTGACCCCGGGAGATATTGTCTTCCTCGACGCTCACAGCGTTCGGCACCGGACCGAGCCTCATCCTGTCGATGCAGGAAACAATCTTCCAGAGGCCAATAGGTGGGCGGTGTCATGCTTCTACCGCACGGGTATTAGGTCGCAGTACGAAACAGTGGATATTTCAGAGGGGGACCTGCGCACGATGATGGCCAGAGAGGCGGAGAGCTACAGCAAACCTCGAGCTCGAAAGAGTCGCCGCTGCTGATCAGCGTATACATGTACAGTACTTCTCGTCTACAGAACAGGAGGTTCGGGGTGCTCTGGTGCGAAGCCAGTGGTCAAGAACGGCTTCATGAACGTCTCTCCAGTCCTGACGCTCTGACCGGGGACATCAGGATCCCACATGACGCGACGGCGGGCAAGGAAGCAATGCTTAGAAGGCATCACAATGGTGTAGACAAAGCCGTCGTGCCGTGGGTTGAGGTATGGCAACGGCTTCCTCAATGGCACGCACTTTCGGTAGTGCATGCCTACCATCCACTGTGTCGCATTGCGGTTGATCTGCCTGGCGCCAATGTGTCCGATGGCACCAGCGTCTGCAAGGTTCGTGACTCTTGACGGGATAGGATGCACCTCTCCAATGCCTGCCAGCATAGAGAGGTCTTCGATGAGTGGCAAGCTGGAGTTGTACACTTGAACCAGGTTTCCATCGAAGAGCGGGGGGTTGGAGATCCGGTAAGGACGTCGCCCTCCCCGGCCCCAAGAGCGCTTGAGGTGGGCCATGAGGCCGTCGGCCGCGGCGAAGCCTTCGAGGATGGCGCGAGCCGTGAACTTGTCGATCTTGGTGAGCCATACTGCGTGACCGTCCCCCATCCAACGGCGGATGTACCGCCACTTGCCGCCCCGCTTCCTGCGTGCTGGCAAAGGAATGTCGTGGTCTTGGGGCCCATCTGCGATGCTGTGATAGTGGTGAGCCTCGTAGTTCTTCACGTGGTCGTCATTGTCTGGGTCGTAGGAGCGAGGACCGACGACCATCGGCTTGAAGAACTCGACGACACCCTGGTGCCTGCAGATGCAGGTGTACACAGGGTTCCGCTGCGTCGGCCGCTTGCGACGCAGGCCAAGGTGCGGAAGCTGCCGCTGCAGCCGTCGGACGATCCCGTCGATGTAGGTGACACCATCGTCTTTGACCTGGGTGACCAAAAGGTAGGGAGGTCCCTGGATGGGAAAGATGACTCCACCATCTCCAAGGACAAAGCCGACGAACGCTGCCCAGTCTCGGCTGTTTTGGCGTGAGTCGAAGAAGTGCCCTGGGATGAATTCCCGACAACGAGGCCACCGATAGGGCCAGTGGCGGTTGACGGCCCCAACCCCTAGCTTGTGCCAAGAGTGTACTGTTGTGACGCTATGGGAGCGATAGGGATGAATTGGCTGTGGGTCCGGCACCAGGTTGTGGGAGGCTATGTCGTGGAGCCAGTACAAATGGTAGCCTGCAGGATGGAGACGGGATGGATAGTCAGTAATCACCCTGCTGTCCGTTACTCGTAGTCAGATAGGCATGGCATGTGGCCAAGACTTACTGTTGGGGTCTGCTCTCGTGTTGAGGGCGAAGCGCTGGTTGTGTGTTGCCACGACCTCGAGCTCTCGGCTAGACATCCTGTAGAGAGGCCCTGCGCATGCAGTGCGGCTTACGATGGCTGGTCGCTCCCAGACTTGATGGGGCGGTTGGTCGAGGACTGCAGCCAAGAGAACATCTTCCTGGGTGACTCTGTGGATCGCCTTCCAGCCCTCTCTTGTCATCACGTCATGGTCAACGCTGAGACCACCAATCGCAGGACCTTCGGTCTGGTACCGGCCAGCCGGGTGGAAGAGGTGCCGCTTGGCAGTGTCGGGCTTGATATCTGGGGGCGTTCGACGCTTTGCTGGTCGGGGTCCCTGCCTTTCGCTCAGCTGGGCCAGGATTTGCTTGGGGTCGAGCCCCCTCTCCTTCGCTTTCTTCTTGAAGAAGACCTGTATCTTGGCTTGCTCGCGGAGCTTCTTGAAGGGATCCGGGCGCTCCGTGCCTGCTGAGCTGCTGCTGGCAGCCGACCACGGCCCCTTCAGCGCGAGCTCTACCAAGGACCTCTTAGGCCCAAGAGGCACCGTGAGTGGGACGTCAAGGCGGCCATAGGCTGTGTGCGAGGGGGGTCCCAGGAGGGGATAGGGGTATGTCTTGGGGGTGGTCGAGGCTGCCGTCAGGCGCGAGGCTGCGCGAGCTGCGGCGGCTGGGAACGTGGAGATCGGCGATGCGGCTTGGTTGGCTGGAGATGCCGCCCGTTGCGAGGTGTTGCCCGCCGCAGCTGCTTGAGATGTCGACCCAGAGGATGCAGCTTGGCTGGTCGAGGCTGCCGTCAGGCGCGAGGCTGCGCGAGCTGCGGCGGCTGGGAACGTGGAGATCGGCGATGCGGCTTGGTTGGCTGGAGATGCCGCCTGTTGCGAGGTGTTGCCTGCCGCAGCTGCTTGAGATGTCGACCCAGAGGATGCAGCTTGGCTGGTCGAGGCTTCCGTCAGGCGCGAGGCGGCGCGAGCCGCTGCAGCAGCTGCTGGGAACGTGGAGAGAGGCGATGCAACTTGGCGTGTCGAGGATGCCACCAGTCGAGAAGCGGTTGGAGCAGCCGCAGCTGCGGCTGGGAACGTAGGAAGAGGAGATATGGCTCGACGGGTCGAGGATGCCACGAGTCGCGAGGCGGTGGGAGCGGCTGCAGCGGCGGCTGAGAGCCTAGGAAGAGGAGCTATGGCTTGGCGGGACGAGGACTGTTGACCTTGGGACTGGCTTCCAGGGGCTTGCTCATCCCCTGACGTGTCCGATGACAACACGATTGGTCTTCGTCGTTTCCCAGACATCGCGGCTGCTGGAGATGATGCGAAGTAGGGCCACGGAAGCAGCTGAGTGTGGTGTAGAGAGAAGATGTCCCGCTCAAGAAGGTCTGAGAAGCTGTGCTGAAGCTCTGGCGGCACCCTCTGCCGTCGCGTTTGCATCGCCACTTTCTGCCTGCTATTGGCCCTTTCTCCTCCCTTTCTTGCAGGAAGAAGACGCCTGCCAGATAGGAAGACTGCTTAGCTCTGGAGACGGGCGACGAGGGCACGGATCACTCTGGATGGTGTGCTTGTTGCCCTGGGCCCACAAGCAGAGCAGGGCAGAGTGCGCCGTGAGAAGGGGCGATCATCCGCTGAACCTGCACAACGGAGCCTGCCGCAATCTTCCTCAGCCCCGAGGCTCTGGCCGCCAACACGATCCGGCACACACAGGCGGCGCGCTCACTGGGCACATTTAGAGTTTGGCTGCACCTTTGCAAGCCGGTAGGCCGCTCGCCTTGAGATTCTGCGCCGGGCGAGCCTCCCATCCGTCTCACTGTGAAGGCCGGTGTGATAGAGGTCTAATTGTAGAGCTCTGATCCCTTGATGCCCGAGCCACGCTCTACACTGTCACTCTCCTCGTGGCGGCTCTAGCTGCCATTGAAAATCCGTTTTTCGAGTGTTGAGCGGCAGAGCAGCTGTCTTCCTACCGAATACCAGGGGGAACGGTCTAATAGCAAGTCGTTGCACACGGCTTGAACAATCATTTTTGTGATGCTGCCGAGTGCTCGATGTGTCTTGATGGCGACGCTGGTGTGCAGCGTTCTTGTTGAAAGCAAGATTTACATGAGCCCACGCAGCAACCCTCCCTCCACTACTCTCCTAGCCTGCTTCCGCCCGCGAGCTGCAACTGTCGAAGGGGGCTGCTCGAGCATCAGGCTCCCGACATTTCCTTAGCAGCTTGAGCAAGTCGAGTCGGCTCGTCTTGCAGGTGTGACCGCACAGACAGCTGCTTGCGCGGCCTTGAAGGGCTTGATTGTCTGTGCTGCCACACTGTTGCAAGCACGGCGTACGAGGCTGCTTCATGCTACCGTCGCTGCTGCAAGCACCGCTCTCAAGCTCAGCAGGTAGACTTGGTGCGATGACAACGTGCGTCTCACTCGTTCGTTCCAGCGTGCTCGTCACAGGGCCATCAGGGCGCAGTCACGACCTGGCCCCGCGTTCCGCTGGCTCGCCCCGATTCGAGACTGGTCGGCACCGCCCACCACCCACCGAAGCGTGCCACGGGAGCGAGCGAGCGAGCGAGCGAGCACACCCGAGCAGATGAGACCGGAAACGACGGCAGAGGAGAACCGGTGACTTTGAGATTTCTATCCGATGACGGTATTCGCCCGACCCTCGATGGGGCGAGCGCCCTGAGACAGCAGAGCAGCGAGAGAGAGATGAGATGTACATAGCGGCCGGCGTCCAGCGTGGGGCGCGGCGGCGCGAGTCTAGCAGGAGGATCCGAGGGGGAAGAAGCGTGCGGCGAGGCAAGGGAAGGATGCGATGGTATGCGGGACGACAATGGAACGAGCGAAAGGATGTAGAGAGCGTGTCTGGCGGCGGCACCCGCCTAGAACGAGAAGCGAAGGAGCGAAGGGTTGAGGACGAGCGGGTAGAGGATGTGGAAGCACATGTTGAAGATGAGGGGGACCATGATGGTGGGTTCGACAATGACCCACTCGAGCGGGAGGGGGGCGAGGGCCATTGCGGCGGCGCCGCCGATGACGGCGATGGATACGAGAAAGACGACCCAGAAGCGCTTGAACATGGCGGGCAGCTCGCGGAAAAAGTTGCTGTCGTCGAGGTCCTTGAGCGTGGCGCCCCAGGTCATGTTGATGCCGAGCGGGTGGGCGACGAGGGCGACGAGGACGTGGTAGCTGAGTCCGCCAAAGAAGACGAGGAAGAAGGGCACCCACTTGACGCCGTCGACGAGGGCCGTCACGACGGAGCCGGTGCGCGAGCGGATGAGGCCGATGACGAGCGAGACGTTGCCTCCGGCGGTAAAGACGACCAGGACGGCGACCAGCACCTCGAAGCTGGGCACCAGCGGCACGTCGAGCGTGGGGCCGAACCAGCCCATGACGAGGTAGAGGGCGATCGAGAGCGGGACGCAGAGGGCGATGGCGTAGTACGAGAAGAGGTAGGCGCAGGCCGAGAACTTGTAGTGGATCGGCAGCTTGGACCAGAGGAAGCGGCGGAAGAGCGGGGCGAGCGGGCCGCGCGTCGGCCACTGCCAGAGGCGGTTGAGCATGAGCTCCGAGCAGCCAAAGGCGTACTTTTGCCACCGGTTCAGCTCGTCCTCGGCGGTGAGCGAGACGCCCTCGAGGAAGCCGCCCTGCGAGTACGTGGCCCAGCGGACGACGTAGCTCTTCATCAGCAGTCGGAGCGCCTGTAGAGCGTGGGGAGCGGGGGGAGCGGAGGTAGCGGAGGGAAAGAGCGAGCGCGAGGCACGGTCAGCATGCGATGTTGTGAATGGCGCGCTACCCGCGACGTTTCGCCTCTCGCGGCCACGGCGACGCCCACTCACCATGTCAAAGTCCTCCGAGACGTGGGCGTCGGACCAGATCTTGGAGACGCCCGGGTCGACGTCGTCCTCGAATGCGACCTCGCGGATGGCCGACCAGCGGAGGAAGGCGTTGTGGCCGACAAAGGGCGCCACGTCGCCGCACGCGACGCCGTGCGAGATCGAGAAGTTGACCATCTTGGTAAAGTAGGCGATGCCGCGCTCAAAGTAGTTGTTCGAGACGAGCATGACGCCGCTGCAGTGCTGGAGGACGCCGAGCTCGGGCGACTGTCGCATCTCGGAGGCGGCGTCGAGCAGGCAGTCTTCGGGGACGCGCGTGTCGGAGTCGACGAGGAGGATGAGCTCGCCGATGCGGGCGTCGCCGTGGCCGCGGGCGAGCGGGTGGAGCTGCTGGAGGAAGCCGGGCAGGAGGCGCTCGGCCTGCTGGCGGTCCTCGAGGCGCGACTGGGCCGTGACCTTTTCGCTCTCGCGGCCGGCCTTGAGGCGGCGCATCTCGTCCTCGACGCGGATGGCGACCTGGCAGGTAAAGTTGAGGTTCGACGCCTTCTTGAAGCGGCCGCGGCGGACGAAGCCGTCGACGCCGTGGCCCGGGCGGGCGATCCAGGTGGTGTCGTTCTGGTCGTAGAAGCTCTGGCGGGCGGCCTGCTCCTCGGCCGAGAGGAGGAGCATGCCGTCGTCGGAGATGATGACCGAGGCGGTGCCGCCCTGGAGCTCGTAGGTGCGGATGGCGGCCTGGAGCGAGCGGAGCGTGGGCTCGATGACGGTCTCGATCGACTCCTTGTACACGGGCATCTGGATGGTGACGTGGGGCAGGTTGTTGCGGATGCGCTTGGGCGCCTTGCCCGAGTAGTAGCGCGAGTTGCGGCTCATCTGCTGGATCGGACCGACGATGAGCAGGATGATCGACATGACCTGGCAGCAGAAGAACATCGACAGGGTGAAGAGGACCGGGATAAAGGCGAGGTAGGCCATGCGGATCCAGTGGTGGTCGAGGAGCGAGTTGCAGACGAGGACCTTGATCGAGAGCGAGTGCATGAGGATGTTGATGGCGACGGCGAAGCCCATGCGGAGCGGGCCGAGGAAGGCGATCGGCCGGCGCTCCTCGGCCTCGTCGCCCGCCTCTTCGTCCTTGAACGAGTCCTGGTCGTCGTCGAAGCCCTGCGAGCCCTTGAACGTCTCCCACCCGGGCGAGCCAAACGACGACGAGGCCGTCATGGTGCCCGACAGGGAGCCGGACGACGGCAGCGTCGACAGGCCGGGAGAGCCGGGAGAGCCGGGCGAGCCGCCGGGCTGCTGCTGCTGCTGCGGGTGCTCGAGGGCCTGCTGCTGGAAGTGGTGCTGGCGCTGCTCGTGGAGCATGCGCGACTGGTGCGTCGACCAGGCGCGGAAGTAGTGGTCCTTGGGCGGGCCGGACTTTGCGTCGGCGGTGCACATCATGATGAAGCCGAGGGTCGACGAGAGGAGAGCCTCGACCTCGCCCTCGATGGCGTCGACGTCGTCGGTCCAGCAGACGAGGACCTGCTGCTGGCGGACAAAGGCGGCCTTGTGGGCGCGCCGGGCCTTTTCGAGGTCCTGCATCGTCTCGATGACCTGGATGCGCTCCGACGCGCTAAAGGGCACCTCGGTGGTGCCGGGCGCCAGGCGCGACGTGAGGCCGCGGACTAGAGCGCTGTTGACGACGAGGGCCACTTCGTACTTGAGCTTGGCCGAGGCGCTGTGGAGGTGGTGCAGCTGCTCGACGCCGAGGGGCAGGGTGATGTACTCCTGGGCGGATCGCCGGAGCGAGATGCCGCCGATGTCGCTGGGCGACGAGTTCTTGATCCAGCCGCGGTTCTGTGCCATTTCGAGGAGGTGGATGGCCATGTACTCGTAGGCGCTGTCGTCGAGGTTGGAGCGGAAGGGCGACGAGTGCTGCGAGTGCTGCTGGTCGGACGAGTAGGACTCGGAGTTTGTGGGGCGGTGGGATGGTCGGTCGCTGTGGTTTGCGTAGCTCTCGGCGCGCGACCTGCCGCCCTGGCTCGAGGACGAGGCGTAGGACATGGTGGCCGTGGTGGGCGCACGAGCGGTGTCGAGAGGGGGGGAAGGTGGGCGGGGGAGGTATAGGCGTGAAGCGAGAAGTCAGCGGCGCCGTCGACGAGGATGGGACGCGCTTGCTGGCCGTTGCTCGGTCGAGTGCCTTGTCGCTTGCGAGAGGAAGGAGGAAGAGGAGGAGGGCCGTCGTTGAGTGGTTGACAAGAGGGGAGGCGGGCAAGACGAGGGGCTCGACGTGATGCCGACGAGGTACTTATTGCAAGGCCAGGGATGAGCGCTCGATGGAAGGCGAGCGGGCGGGTGGAAGTTTGCAGGGTACACGAGCTCCGACGTTGGTGCGTGGGCCTGGCGTGGTGGGCATGACGAGCGAAGCTTGATCAGGAGGCGGGCAACGTGCCGAGCTGGACAGGACGGGACGGGCTAGGGCGACGACGGCGATCCGTTGGATGCAAAGCATGGCACCGTCAGAGGCCAACGAGGGACGCGCGTGGATGGGCCAGAGGGGGGAGCGGTGCGGGTGCGCGGCGCGGGTGCAGAGGCGGGAAGGCCGGCGGGGAGGATGCTAGACATGGTGCGGCCTGAACTGGCCCGACCTGGCCGAGATCGATGGCAGTCGCGTGCGGGCCGCAAAGGGGTCCATCAAAGAGTGGCGCGTGGCAAACGGCAGCGAGGGGGATAGGCCGTGTCTCCTTGACGGGCCGTCGCCGCGACCTGGATGGCCATCGGACCCTAGCCTGCCATGCTCAAGGAGCGGGCCATCCGACGGACGGCTGCCCAGAGTTGCACGACGGCCTGCTTATTGCCTTTGTGTGCAGCGCAAAGGCCCCGGCCGGCAGGATCTCGACCCGTTGGCTTGAGGGGGAGCCGGCTGGTGCCGCTGTAGGCGCTTGCAGGGCGGGGAGAAGCAGCGCGCGTCGACGCCTGGTCTGGACTGGCGGCCGGCCTCGTGGGTGCTGTAGGCAGGGCTGAAGGCCGAGACAGAGGGCCAACGAGGGTGGTGGATCGTCAAGACGGCCCGGAGCCCATCGCCCGGCCGCGCTAAACGGTGGCAAACGCCGTCTGCCAGGCAGGCCAGGGCGGGCCTGGGTGCAGGTGCAGAGAGAAGCTAAGATAGAGCTGACGGGCGGGGCGCTGGGGACCCACAGACGCCCAGCCACAACGAACGCGCCCACGCCCGCTCGCCGATTCAAATCTGGGCTGCGCGCCCGCCTCAGCTGGGCTGCGCATGCAGAGATCTGCGTCAGAGGCCGCCGCGTTGGCATCTGCGCCCAGCTCGATTCGACTTGAACTTCGCCAGCGCTGAATACAACCGCCGGCGTTCCCAGGACTTGAATTTGTATTGCTGCATCTGCCACTTTGAATCCACCTCAGACCTCACCCCCCCCCCCACCCAGCCTGCAAACGCCGTCCCCGGGTCAGACCGAACGAGCGAAGCCGAGCAGGCCAGGCAGGGCGACTCTTCGCTTCTTCCCGCGGCTGCGTCCCTTGGCCCGCGTCCCCTTTGCTCCCTCGCACACACGCCACCACCATCAGCAGCGGCGAGGGGCCATCAAGCTCCAGCCAGGCCACGCCAGGCCACGCACCTACATCTCCCATGCACCTCCCCGTCCGGTCTGCCATGGCACCAACCCCCCAGTGGCCGCACCCAGAGTAGTCGACCCTGCCCCTCTCTCCCTCTGTTTGCCCGCGCCTCGAGTCTGAATCGACAAACCGACGACGATCTTTTTCAAAGAAACGTGGCCCGCTTCCATCGTCTGCCCGTCCGCCTGCCCGCCTGTCCGCCCGCTCGCTTGCTTGCTTCTCGGAGGTATCAATGCAGATCAACGCGCGTCGACGAGCGAGGGAGTAAGCGTGTCTCTGATACGGCCTTTCCCGGTCTGCACCTCGATTCTGTGACCCCCCGTCCCGACCAGCCAGGCACCGCCCGTTGCCTGTCGCTCTGCGCCGGTCGAAGCCGTCGGATCATCAACCCGTGGGGCCAGATCTCGCACCATCATGGGGTGCCCTCCCGCTACAGCACCCCGAAACCAGCTTGGCACCTTCCCCGCCCCGGCCGCGACCTCGAGCCGCCGAGGTCTCGCCTCGTCTCTCGCTCGGGCTCCCTGCCCAGGCCCGTACCGACCTGCACCGTGCCATGCCGTGTCACGCCAGGCGGCGTCGTGGGCTGAGGTGCAAGCAGGCGCCACTCGCCGCCGCCTCCCGTGCACCTTCACAAGATGACCCGCGCGCGATCCGCCAGCCCGTCCTCGTCCTCTGATGACGCCTTCCCGTACCTAGGTAGCCACGCCGGCCGACACCTGGCCGCTCCACCCTTATACCTACCCAACGGCCGTACCACCGTCCGTCGACCGCTCCTCTTCTTTCTCCTCCTTTCTCTTTAAACATCCTAGACGCAACACGTCCTGCTCTCGACAACCCAAGCCGCCCCCTGCGCCAAGCGAACACCACTACCCGCTGCTCCTTCTCAACCTTCCTCGCGACACCGCAAGGCTCCACGACACCGCCGCAATCGCAGGCTAGCCCGCTCGCCCAACATGGATCCTTTTGCCGATCGCAACGCGGCGGCAGCAAGCGCGTCGTCGCCCGCCACCCCGGCCACGCCGGGCACGCCCCTCGTCGGCGGCGGCTCAGAGGTGCGGCGCACGCCCTCGACCAGCTCCTCGGGCGGATCCAGCATCCTCGCCTACGCCACATCGACCGGCAGCGCCATCGGGGCGGGACGGAGACCGCTCACGCCCCTCGCACACCAAGACTTTGGCATCGCACCGCACCGAGACTACTTCACCGCCGGTGCCGGCGCTGGCGATGGCGACTACTTTGCCTCGACGCCCGGCCGCCAGTCGAGCCGTCCGGCGTCGTCGGGCGCGCCCAGCGAGTCGGGCATCTTGAGCCCGGGCCGTAGCACCAACGCCATGCACACGCCGCGCCGCTTCAACCTGCTCCAGTCGTACACGTCTAGCTCGGCGTCGTTCCGCTTCCGCTCGCAGCAGTGCTTTGAGCCCATCGTCGAGAAGCGCAGGCCGGCCTTCAGGTCGAGGCGGCTCAAGCCCGAAGAAATGGACCAGACCGACGACCTCTGGACAAAGACGCCGGCGGGCAGGAGGGCCAAGCGCAACAACTACCTCGTCCTCCTCATTGGGATAACGCTCGGCGTCCTCGCCGCCGCGGGCGTCATCGTCGAGGGCTACCTGGGCGTCCAGAAGCACAACTACTGCCTCGTCCTCGAGGACAACTTCGACGGGCCCCTCGACACCAGCGTGTGGCAGTACGAGCAGGAGACGGGCGGCTTCGTCGCCGAAGAGTTCCAGTGGACCACGACGTCGGCCAACAACAGCTTCACCGACGACGGCAAGCTCTACATCGTGCCCACCCTCACCTCGGACGCCCTCGGCGAGGGGGCCATCGTCGACGGCTACACGCTCAACCTGACGAGCGCCGGCACGTGCACGGCGCGCAACCGGACCGACGACTACTGCGCTGTCGCTTCCAACTCGACGACGGGCGTCGTGCTGCCGCCCGTCCAGAGCGCCCGGCTGACGACCCAGGGCACGCGCTCCATCAAGTACGGCCGCGTCGAGGTGCGCGCGCGCATGCCCACCGGCGACTGGATCTGGCCCTCGATCTGGCTCGGCGCGCGCGACGAGGTGTACGGCGCCTGGCCAAAGTCGGGCGAGATCGACATCGCCGAGTCCAAGGGCAACGCGCCCCGCCACCGCGGCGACAATGTGGCAAACGCCCTCACCAGCCGCCTCCAGTGGGGTCCCGACAAGGACCACAACGGCTGGTGGCGCTCGACGGGCATCTCGAAGCTGTGGAACTACTACTACGACACGCGCTACTACACCTTTGGCGTCGAGTGGGACGAGACGTCGGTGTGGACGTGGCGCGGCAGCCGGGCGCGCAAGACGTTTGAGCGCCGTTTCGACCGCGACATGTGGTCCTCGGGCCGCTTCCCCTCGTGGTCCAACAACGGCACCGCCATCACCAACCCCTGGCTCGGCGCCGCCCAGCCCAACATTGCCCCCTTTGACCAGGACTTTTACCTGGGCATCAAGGTCGCCGTCGGCGGCACCGACGGCTACTTTAGCGACGACGACAGCGCGACGCCCAACAAGCCCTGGTCCAACTCGGCGTCCAACCCGCGCTCCGACTTCTGGAACAACCGCAACGACTGGCTGCCCACCTGGCCCAAGGACGTCAAGCAGCGCGGCCTCGCCATCGACTATGTCAAGATGTGGCAGAAGTGCTAGCCTCGGCTCGAGTCCGCTCCGTTTCTCACGGGTGTCTTGTCGTGTCTTGTCGATATAGAGCTTCGATCCTTCTCTTTCTCCGCCTCCTAATCACCTCGGGGTTATACAGTTAGACAGTCATGGGTACCGATATCGTCTCTCGCTCAGCGCGAGTATGCAAAATCACACGCTCTCTCATCCATCGCCGTCGTGCCTGCAGTGCGATTTGCGCCCCTTGGAACTCACCGTCAGGAGGAGGAGGCGAGGGCCTTGCGCGTTGGAGGAGGTGAGGCCTCGCTGCATCGAGCATCGTCCAGCTTTCGTTTTGCAGGTCCGGCTGGGTCTCGAGGAAAGCAAACGTGCAGCAACCGCTTGCATCTCGTGCGCGCGGAGTGGAAATGCCGTTCTGTGGAGACAGGGAGGGACAAGGACGAAGAGCATCGGCATGGTGACGACGAGCGAGCAAGGAGAACCAAGAGGAACCTTCTGACGGGGCGGAGAGGAGAGAAGCGGACGACTGCAGCGAACCTTGCTGCGACGGCGTCGTCGATAAGGGGCGACGGACTCCGCTGTCGCTCTTCCAAGGAGATGCCCAGGATCTCACCTTGTTTTCCTCCAGAGGAGCGGAGCGAGCGACGGGGCGAGGACAAGAACCTGGATCGACGCGGCCGACAGGAGAATCGGCCTGAACGGGTCGAGATCCGGCCTGGTTGTTTCCGCTGCCTGTCGCTCTCGAGACGAGATGATCGACGGATGGCAGCCGGGCGCGCCACAAGTCTCGACGTAGCGGTAACGCCTCTTCGTCGTCGTCGGCGGCCAGGAGGTGCATCGGCGACGTCGTCGACGCGAGGAGACGGCAAGCAAGGCCATCATCGTGCGTGCCTCCACTGCGTGGACAGCGAGGAACAAATCTGGTGCCATCCTGTTTGTGGCGGAGCTGTGGCACCGCCGCTCGCTCCGCCCAGGGTTGACGGTCCGCGGGCTGAGTTGGCCTATGCATCCCTATCTTCTCTCCTCTTCGCTTCGAGGCCACGAAGCCAGAGCGGAGCGTTGTGGCGCCGTCGATAGGATTTCTCCTCGACGGTCCGCTGACGATGTCGGGATCGACGAGGCATAGTCTGGCTCCTTGGCCCCGCCTCCTTGTCAGGAGCGGTCCGAGTACTGTCGGCGATTGTCATGGCGCTAACGATGACGCAGGACGATGATCGCTCGTCATCCCTCTCCTCGAATAGGCGAGCGGGGCATGTTCGCAAGCGATGTCGATCCCTCTGACCTTTTCCCACCGGTCGCCGCACGAAAGAGCACCTTGCCGAGTTGATCGACAAGCCGCATGTCGTCTGGGTTGCCGCTGCAGCCTTTCTCTGCCCTCGAGACCACACGACGGCGCGCTCGAGAGGCGTACCTGGTCGACTTGGTGTGAGCGGTAGAGGTGCGCATGGCGACGAGGCACGCGTGCGGGCCCTCGTTTGTCGGCCGATAGGCAGGGAGCCTGCCCTATTTGTGCGCTGGTGCCACCGTGGCTGCATGGCTTGAGGGCCCTTGCTGCCGTGCCTACCTCCCTGCCTGCCTGCCCGGCGGGACGGCAAAGCGTGAGAGAGTCGAACCCTGCGCGCTGTGCTGTTGGCGCCATGACAGGAGGGGAAGGTGGTGAACGGGGAGGTGCGTACATACAGGACCAAAGTGATGGCAGGCGGGCAGACGGTGCAGGCGTTTGGTTTATTGCTGGCTGAGCTGACCCGCCAAACTATGCGGTCTCGGAGCGTGCAAGCGGGGCGGACGGGCGGCGGGCGACTCAGGGCGGGGCGGGGCGACGCTGCTGAATCTGGTCTGGACTGGGCTAGAATCCAGGCTGGGCTGGGTTGGGTTGAGCTGGGCGTGAGTACCGTGACGAGCCCTGCGGAGTCCTGAATGTGATACGTATGGGGCTGGGCGGCGGCGGCGGTGGTGTGGGTGGTGGTGGTGGTGGTGAAAGGGAAGGGGGAAAGAGGAGACGGCGTTCCTGGCGCCTCCGAGACCTGCATGGGCCCGGGTTGGCCGCCCGGTGGACGCGGGCAGCACAGCACAGCACAGCGGCCGGTGCGCAGCAAGGGCCTCCCGGACGATCCCGTCTGTGCAGGTCGGGTACGGAAGGCCCGGCCTGGCCTCGGGCGTGGGGCTTTGAGAGGGAAGCCTGCCGACCAAGCACGCACCCACGCACGCACGCACGGGGCAGCGCGGCCGCAGGCGGGGTCCAACTGGGCAGCCAGGAAATCGGAACGCCGCCGGCCTGCCTGCCTAGCCTTTTGACTCGGGCTGGTCTTTTTCAGACGCCGTCGCGTCGGCCCGCACTTCTGGGTGGCGCGCTGCTGCCAAAAATCCGGGTGGGCCACCACCACCACCACCGGCACCACTTTGCTTCCCGCGCCATGGTTCCCTCGTTTCCTTGTTCCTCTTCTCCCGCAAACGCCATCGTACCATGCGACTAATCACTAGGCACAGTATACTGTATTACGTGAACGTGGATCATCAGAGGAAGCGTTCCCGGCACGCAATCGTCCGTCGCCAAGCTTCGAAACCGACCGTCGGAGACGGGATCCCAGGCCGGTCTTCTTCACCTGCCTGGCCCGCCTCCTGCCACGGCTTCACCCGACGGCACCGCTCGCCGTTGATATCGATATCGATCCCGATGCAGACGTCGTATTTGCTGCTTCGGCTCGATCTTCGGGCCGTCGTGTCTCATCGATGTGAACGTCCATCGCGCGCAGCTACCTACAACCGCACGGCATCGTTGATCCGTGCCGTCCGTGTATCGATCCGCATTCGCCAGCAGATCGGGAACGCGGTCGACCTCGGCTGCTTCTCTGGCAAGAGAGAAGCGCTGGTGCTGAGGGCGAAACGCCGATGCCGAGCCGCACAGCCGCTTTGTAGATGGCAAGATGCCATGGCAGAAAAGTCCCCTTTCAAAAAGACCCGTGACCTTCTAATCCTAGAGCGAGAGTCGGAGCGGATGGATACTGTGCTAGAGAGAACGATACGACGGTAGCGAGTGAGTGTGGGTGGGGGCGCGACGCCCGTAAAAAGAGGAGAAAGAGTGTGGAAAGAGATGGAGATGGAGCGCGGTCGAGACTAGTAATACAGGTTGCCGAGGCAAGCAAGAAGGCATAGGGAGGGAGAGAGAGAGCGAGGAATGTCGAGGGCGCCGTATTGCCTAGAACTCGAAGCGTACGAGCCAGGGGTTGAGGACAAAGGGGTAGACGAGGTGTGCCACGACAAACGCAATGGCCGGCGCGTAGATGGCCGGCTCGAGGATGCGCCACTCGAGCGGGATGAGGTCGGAGCCCATGACGACCATGGCGGCGGCAAAGAGGACCATGAAGGCGATGCAGTGGCCGAAGCGCTTGAAGATGGCGGGGATCTCCTTCCAGAAGTTGGACTCCTCGACGTCCTTGACGGTGGCCGACCAGGTCATGTTGTACTCGAACGGGTGCGCCAGCAGCGCCAGCATGACGTGGTAGCCCAGCCCGCCGAAAAAGACGCAGAGCATCGGCGTCCACTTGACCGTCTGCACCAGCGCGTGCACGAACGTCGCCCGCGAGGCGCGCGCCCGGAAGACGAGCTGGGCAAACGTGCCAAAGATGGAAAAGACAAACACGACCGTGAACCAGATCTGCAGCGGCGGCAGCGGGATCGGGTCCATGAGCGGCCAAAAGAGGCCCATGGCAAAGTACATGGCCACCGTCATCGGAGTGCCGACGGCAATGGCCCAGTACGAGAAAATGTACGAGCAGGCGTTGAACTTGTACGTCGTCGAGCAGTCCGACCAGAGGAACTTTTTGAAGAGGGGCGACAGCGGGCCCCGGGTGGGCCACTTGCGCAGCGGGTTGAGGACGAGCTCCGAGCAGCCGTAGGCGTACTTTTGCCACCGGTTCAGCTCGTCGTCGGCCGTGAGCGACACGCCCTCGAGGAACTGGTTGTTGCTGTAGGTCGCCCAGCGGACCACGTAGCCCTTCATCAGCAGGCGGAGCGCCTGTCGCAGTGGTGAGGTGGGGGAAGAGAGGAGCAGGGATCGCGCTCCGGTCAGCTCGGCAGTTCATGGGGGCGAGGAGCGCGCGCGGAGGAAGGACGGCACGCCGCGACCGAACTCACCATGTCAAAATCCTCGGACACGTGCGCCGACGACCAGACGCAGCGCTCGCCGTCGTCGTCGGTGAAGATGACCTGCTGGGCGGCGCGCCACCGCAGAAAGGCGTTGTGGCCGACAAAGGGCGCCACGCCGCCGTTGGCCACCGACCACGAGATGGCGAGGTTGACGACCTCGGTGAAGTAGCCAATCATCTTCTCGAAGAAGTGGTTGGCCACGTACATGACGCCGCTCGAGTGCTGCAGGACGCCGACCTCGGGCGACTGCTCGAGCTCCGACGCGGCGTCGAGGAAGCAGTCGGCGGGCACGCGTGTGTCCGAGTCGATGAGGAGGATGTAGTCGCCGATGCGGATGTCTCCGGCCGCCCACGCCTTGCCCTCGCTCTCGTCGATGGCCTGCTGCATGGCGGTGGCGTAGAGGGCCTTTTCGTCCTCGTCGTACCACTCGCCGCCGCTCAGCATCGTCGCCTCGGGCCGCTTGTCGTCCATGATCTCCTCGATGCGCATCGAGAGGTTGCAGGTGAAGTTGAGGTTGCTCGCCTTCTTGAAGCGGCCCTTGCGCAGGTAGCCCTTGTCGCCGTGGCGCGGGCGCGCCACCCAGCCGACCATGTTGCGCTCGTAGTAGTCGCGGCGGACCTCCTGCTCCTCGGGCGACAGCAGCTGCATGCCGTCCTCGGATACGAGGATGTTGGCGGTGCCGCCCTGGAGCTCGTAGACGGCCACGGCCTTCTTGACGCTCTCGATCGTCGGCGCTAGCACCGAGTCGAGGCCCTCCTTGTAGACGGGCATCTGGACGGTGAAGTGCGGGAGCTTGCTGCCGGCGGGCAGGCGCGGGCTGCGCTTGCCGCTGTAGTAGAGGCTGTTGCGGTTGAGCTGGGCGATGGGCATAAAGACCTGGGCGACGATGCCGACGATGTTGTCGCAGAGGAACTGGCAGATGAGCATCTGCGCCGGGATGACGGCCAGCACGGCGAGGCGCAGGTAGGAGCCGTCGAGCAGGCACATGGTAATGACCCTGCGCGCCAGCAGGCCGGCAAGGAGGATGTTGAGGCCGACGCCGATGCCCGTGTAGAGCGGGCCGTAGAGGTTGACGGTGCGTCCGCGCTGCAGCGAGCCGACGGCAGGCTGTCCGCCCTCCTCGTCAGGCACATCGCCACCTGCCTCCGCCGCCGCCGCCGCCGCCACCGTCGGGTCGCCGCCCAGCTTCTCGTTGATCATCGGCGAAGGCTCGAGGCCGGCGATGGCAGCGGTGCTGTCGGTGGGCCCGAGCAGCGCCGGCTTCTCGCTACCGACGAGGGATGTGGCGCTCTGGAGGCGCTGCGAGGTTGCGGGGCCGCTGGGAGAGAAGAACTTGCGGAACGGCCGCGTCAGCGCCGCTGCCGGGTGCGAGGGCGGCGTAAAGGGCGTCGAGGGGCCGCTGCTGGGCGTGGAGCCGTGGCCGACGGCGCTCGACCTGGCGCTGTGGACGGCGCTCGAGGGCGTCGAGGCGAGCGTCGAGTAGGGGCTGTTGCTCGCCTTTGCGCGCCTCCAGATGTACTTGATCATCTTCTTTTCGAGGACGCGGCCGGCCTCGACCATGTCCTGCACCGTGTCGGCCCAGACGACGAGGCAGCCCTGGGTGCGGACAAAGCAGGCGCCCTGCGCCTTGCGCGCCTTGCCGAGCCCCTCGGTGGTCTCGACGACCTGGACAAAGTCCTCGTCGGTGAGGATGACCTCGGTGGTGCCCGGCTCGAGGCCGGCGCAGATGCTCGCGGCGACGCTCGAGGTGAGCGTGAAGGCGGCCTCGGGATTGAGGAGGTGGAGCGCCGTGACCCAGCTGAGGAGGCGGTCGTCGTTGGGCGGGTAGTAGGTGTACTTGTTGCGCCCGAGGCGGCAGGCGACGCCGTTGACGACAAAGGGGGCCGCGGTGACGAGGCGCTCCTTTTTCAGCTGACGAAACATCTCCTCGACAATGAGCTTGTAGGCCTCGACCTTTGGGATCCAGCTCCTCGACGAGAGCGGCGAGGGGTTGTCTGCCGACGAAGAATTGCGCTGCGAGTGGGACCCGCTGGCCACCGAGCCCGCCTCGGACCCGTACGAGGGGGTGCTTGGCCCGGAGGGTGCCTGGCGCTCGAAGCGCGAGAGGGGCGAGAGGTGCGAGTTGGCGCCATACTGGGCCGGGTCGAAGCGGAGGGGCGCCGAGACGGGCTGCGCCGGGATGGCGCGGATCTCGGCGTCGGACTGCATCGTGCGTCGACGAGGAGAGGACGAGGTGAAGGAGCTGCGAAGGGCGTCGTCGAGAGAAGGACGGACGGGATGAGGTGGGGGGGAGGAGGAGAAGGGAGGGGCGGGATGATGGTGCTCGCCACAACGATAGGCCCTTTTTGTTGGTCGCCGGGGCGAGGAAGGGGGGATCGTCGGCGAGGCGGAGCGGTCGGGTTGCGAGACAGAGGCAGAGGCGGAGGAAATGCGGAACGTCGTCGCTGTGCAAGGCGGTGTTGTCAATGTCAGGCCGGGCCCGGCTCGAAGAGCTTACAGAAAGGGCCAGCCAGAGGACGGGCGGTGGCATTTGCGAGGGTGGTCCAAGGGCGGCGGACGATTTCATCATCAGAGGCAGCGGGCAAGGGCCAAGGAGAGGGTGCACGGCTGCGGGACTTGCCACAAAAGGCGAAGGTCTAGAAACCGGGCCAGCCCGCGCCGCCGATGGAGCGAAGCCTTGACCAGGAAGCGAATGTTGTCGATCAAGGGTAGCGCGAGCGAGGGCGCGAGGAGGATATCTGCGGCGGTACCGGTAGGCGCAGCTCTGGCCGAGAAGGGCTAGGTGACAGCGGCGACCCAGGCCAGCAGCAACGTGCGTGGACAGATGGTGGATGAGATCCGCAGGCGGGCAGGCAGGAACAGAACAGGCCGGTTGCCTGCCCGGGAGACATTCCGTCGGGCGGAGTGGACCCAGGCGCGGCCATCCGCCAGGCGGGTCGAGAGGCCATGGGAGGGTGGTGGCAGGACCCAAGGAGCGCGGCAGGGGCGCACGCGGGAAGCCTTGCGGGTTGCGGCATGGACGCGGGATCGTCGTCGTGCCTGAGACGAGGGTCGGGAGCGGCCATGGCCGGATGGCCAGGCCAGGCTAGGGTCTCGCGGGGCGGGGAACGAGGCGGGGGGCAATGGCCGGCCCTCGTGGCGCTGCCTGCCTGCCGCTGCCTGCCTGGCTGCTGGTGGTGCGGGTGATTCTGGAACGCGACACGGAGGCGCGGCCTGACAGGCTGGGAGCACGCCAGCTGTCGAGGCTGGGCTGCGGCTGAGGCTGGGGCTGGGTGAACACGCCAGAGCGGGGTGGGAAGCGAAGTGCGCGCGTACTCGCGCCCCGAAACTTCGCAAACTAGGTCCAATGCCCCTCGTTTCGCCACTCGAGCCGTACGGCAACTTCGGATCGCCCTTTCGGATCACTGGAGGCCTCGTTCGCGCACCTTTTCATCGAGCGCCCCCACGATCAGCTCAAGCAAAGCTTTCCGGGGCGACCACAGATGAGTCGGCTGGCCGCTGCTTGGGCCCTGTCCGATCACAGAATGGCACCCTGTGGCCGGAGCACCGGGCCTCGTCGGTCTTGGCAAGGCAGGCGGCTACCCGCGCCGGCTCTTTTTACGACGGCCGAGCCGGTGTCGAACCACTCTGTTGCCATTGTCCAGGCGGCAAAACCTAAAGAATGCGCATTTCACGGCGTGCCCAGCCATTGTGACCCGCTGCAGAGAAATGCAGGTCGGCGGATCCCGCGTCCGCCGCCGTTTGGCCAGAGCCTGTCTCGCCCTCTGACGCTACCAGGCTAGGCTGATTTTCCGCCCGCGCCTCTGGCTGTGTGCCCTGGATTTTTTCCTTTCTTTTCGGAGGGGCGGGCCTGCTGGCTGCGCCGGAACAGGCCGCTCGCTCCTAGACGGGACAGCTCGCTTGGCGTGCCCGTCCGGTGCCCTGCGCCACCTCGTCTCCTGTCTGCCCGCCTGCCCGCCTGCCCGCCCGCCTGCTCAGCAGCTGACGCCGCACTCCAACGACGAGCCGCCGCAGCCGCCGCCCACCAGCCCGACCGCCCGCCGACTCAGGTAGACAGAGAGACACAAACGGGCCGCGCACGCAGCCGCAAAGGCCCCCGTTCCAGGCCTCGCCGGCTCACCGCACTGCCTACATGCTATTCCGTCGGCGCTCGTCGGGCGGACCCTGGGCTGCCTGTTTGACGCACGCACTCCGTCGACTTGCTTGCTTGCCAGGCTTGCTTCCCGTCCCTTGCCGCCCATCTCGTCAGACCAGGCCAGGCCTGCCCTGCCGCCAAGCAGATCGATCCGCTCCTCGTCGGTGCGCTCCCTCCGGTACTCGACCCTGGCCTGCAAACACCTGGCCCGACACAATACCCAACCGCATCGCATCGTCCAGCCATCTTGACCCGGGGTTCCGCGTCGACCAGCATGCCTTGGCATCACCGACCGCCCTGGCAAGGCGCTTGCCTGCCCACCTACAAAGAGCAGCGATCCGCCGTCGCCGTTGCCTTCGCCGTCGCCGTCACCGCTCTCTGCCCCTGCCTCGCCATCGCCTCCTCCCCTTAAGTAGCCAGCAACCTCGTCGCCAGACCTCTGACCTCGTGCAACACGCGCTGTCCTCGAATCTCACCACCCTCCAACGGCAGCAGCAGCAGCACCACCACCACCACCGCTCGCACCCTCGGCCATCCGCTCCGCATCGCGGCCCACCGCCCCGCCCTCACCTCGCCATGGGCCTCTTCTCGAGACAAGCAAAGCAGGCGCAAGAGGAGCCGCGCGCCCTCTCCGCTCTCCAGCTCCAGACGCTCCAGTACAGCAGCAGCGTCGCTGCTGCCGAGCCAAAGGCGCCGCGGTCGACCAAGCGCGTTGGCAGCGACGACGACGACCAACGCCGCGCCAAGCCGCTCAACGACCGCCTCTCGTACTGGCTATTTGTCGGCCCCGTCTTCCTCGGCATCGCGGCCGCCGCCGCCATCATCGCGCTCGGCGCCATCAAGACGCTGCCCAAGGACAAGTTCTGCCTCGTCCTCCACGAGGACTTCTCCTCGGGCACCCTCGACCCGGCCATCTGGCAGCGCCAGGTCGAGACGGGCGGCTGGGGCAACAAGGAGTTTGAGTGGACCACCGACAGCACCAACAACTCGTACATCCAGGACGGCATGCTGCACATCGTCCCCACCCTCACCTCGGACCAGCTGGGCGAGGCGGCCATCATGGACGGCTACACGCTCAACCTCACCCACAACGGCTGCACCGCCTCGAACCAGTCCGACGCCTTCTGCGCCGTCAAGTCCAACGCCACCACGGGCACCATCCTGCCGCCCATCCAGAGCGCGCGCCTCAGCACCAACATCAGCACGGCCATCAAGTACGGCAAGGTCGAGGTGCGCGCGCGCATGCCCACCGGCGACTGGCTCTGGCCCGCCATCTGGATGATGCCCCGCCACGACACCTACGGCGGCTGGCCCTCGAGCGGCGAGATCGACATCATGGAGGGCAAGGGCAACCGCCCCAAGAAGCGCACCGACGAGGACTCGAACGTCATGAAGTCGACGCTCCACTGGGGGGCCCGACCCGGGCGCGTCGGCCCTCGACGGCTACGCAAAGACGTACAAGGGCCGCCGCCTCTACCGCGACTACTACGACCAGTCCTTCCACACCTTTGGCCTCGAGTGGACCGACAAGCACATCTTCACCTACGACAACTCGCCCGTCTTTAAGAACTTTGCCATGAAGTGGGTGCAGGGCGGCTTCTGGAAGCTGGGCAACTGGCCCCTCTACAGCGCCAACGGCACCACGCTCCTCAAGAACCCGTGGGGCTCGAGCGTCTCGGCGCCCTTTGACCAGGAGTTCTACCTCATCCTCAACGTCGCCGTCGGCGGCGCCAATGGCTACTTTGAGGACGGCAAGGACGACAACAAGCCCTGGCTCAACTCGGCATCCAACCCGGCGCGCGATTTTTGGCTCTCGCGCAACGACTGGCTGCCCACCTGGCCCAAGGACCCCGCACAGCGCGGCATGGTCGTCGACTGGGTCAAGATCTGGCAGAAGTGCTAGGCATCGGCCTGCCTGCCTGCCTGCCCAGCATCTCGTGTCTGCCGCTCCTCTCCATTTGATACCGCCTCGTCCGTCTCGTCTCCTGTCTTAATAGAACCACCAAAAGGGCTTGCCTGTCACCGTCATCCTTCTCCCGTATACGTAGCAAAGGGCCAGTTTCTCCAGCGTACCATAGCAGCGCAGCAAAGCACATTCATTCTACGCACTGCTCTTGTCTGCCCGCAGCGGTATCGACCGATTGTCATTGACAGATCGACCGGGCCTCCGATTGCCACAGCCTGCGCGCGTCTCTGGCGCGGTTCAGCACTACCAGGACCCAAGCCGCGACACGAGGCAATTTCGCTCGCAATAACCGCCTCATTTCGTGTTCCTCGTTGCGGCTGGCGAGGAGATCTCCGCCATGATTGGATCGCGACGATCAGAGACGGTCTAATGTGGAAGGAACGCGACTGCTTCTCTGCTCTGGCAGATCGCTTCGACAAGGTGTGTGTAGCACCGCCGCCGTCGACGCTGCTGCTCTGCTGGCTCGATGTCGGTCCTGCTGATGCCGTGCCTTCTCCGCCCTTCCGTCTCCTGCCTGCGCTTCACTTGGACCGCTGCTGCTGCTGCCGCCATCGCGCGCCACCTTCGACCGTTGTTACCGCTTTCGTTGCGCTCCGCCCTTGACCGGCCTCGACGCCTTGGCCTCGCTATCCTCTGCCGTCCCGTTCCACGCCCGACATGCTTGCACGCAGCATCGTACGTGGCGGATGTTGTTGAGATTGCAATGTGAAAGGATTATCGGGCAGAGAGATGAAAGTGAGGAAGCACGGCTGAGTGCGGCCAGCATCACTGCTGCGCTGCAGCACCGCAGCACTGTTACAGTTTGGGATGCTGGCGGCTGCATGCAGTCTATGCCATGTAGCAGCATTGTGCGCACTCTGCTTTGGCAGTGTCGCAGACCTACAGCTCACAGAGCAGTGGTCTGCACAACCCGTCCATGCAAGGTTCTGATTTCACACCAGCCATTGTTGGCACAAGTCTGTGCTATTTCTGCCACTGAAGAGGACTTTGGTTGTCTGCAAGATGCCAGTGAGCTGGGTTCAGCAGGTGTCTACACAGCATGTTTCCAGCACAATGTACAGTGTTGTTGCATGGACTCGGTGCTGAGAGTTGATCCTGTGGCCTGTCTTGTGGTCAGTGCTGCCTTGTTGTCCCAAGCCCAGGTTGAGCTGTTCTTGCACCTCTTGAAGGTCCTCAAGACGAAGGTATCTTGCTTGTCTTGCGCCGTCAGGAGCTTGAGGTGGTACGGGTCGGCTGTGCCGGGGGCTGGCTCGACCGCCTCAGCGAGGAAGTCTCCAGTGTTGACGCCGAGCAGCGCCGGCCAGCTGTCGACGCCTACAAGCACGCCGTCTTGAATCGCCAACGTGACGACTAGGAAGGCTGGATCCATAGCGTAGCCGAGATCCTTGTCGAGGTACACAGGTTGCTTCTTGTAGGCCGTCGGGTTGAGTCGAAGGCCCTTCAAGTTCCTGATGGTTACGTCGACAACAACGTAAAGGCCCTCGTCCTCCCGGTAGCAGAGGTACACGTCGATATCCTTCCATTTCAATGCGTCGTCCCATCCGGCGCTCAGGGCAAGCTCGCCAGGACGGGATACGGTGAAGAGAATGAGCAACACGATAATGACCATGACATGTTGAAGGTGTTTGGTAGGGTGCTTGTATGTTGCAAGAGGCAAGAAGGTTGATTCCAGCTGGAATGATTGGTACATGTTGGCCAAGTTGGCAACCACTATGAGTGCAGCTGTCAGCCTGACCACAAGCAGCATTGTTGCATTGTCAGACACAACATACAAAGAGACGTGCTTGATGAACAAACAGAGAGAGTCAATTGAATGAGTGCTTGGATGAGACCTGTGAAGTTGCGGCAGCATCAATCTGAATGTTCTGAGTCTCGCTGGAACAGGGCGACGCGGCACAGCAGGCAAGACACTGCCGATATCGAGACACGACACCCGATCTGCGTCGATGCCGTCTGCCTGCGAGACAACGGGCGATTGGCAAGATCCGGAAGCCCCCGCTGGCGATCCGTCGGGTGCGCCGCTGAACGAGCCAAGCCATAGGAGCGGGGACGAGCAGCAGGCAGGCAAGGAGTCAGGGCTGTGGCGGCGGCGGCGGCGGTGGCAGGTGAGCGGGGCTCGACGCCGCTGGGCTTGACCAGGCTGGGCGGAACGGCCACCGTGCGTGCCCTCGAGCCTGTCACGCCTCAGCACCAGCGCAGCGCTGCGAGCGGGGCGGTGAGCGGGGATTTCCCTCGCAGCACCGCCGCCGCCGCCCCTCTTTGGCCTGCTTGCCAGCAGCTTGCCGGGCCTCGATTTATGCAAAGCCCTTCCCGTGCTGCAGGCCCGCTTGACGGTTGGCCCTTGGCGAGCGAAAATTTCCAGGCAGGGCGAGGCCTGCCTGGCCCCGTTGCGTCCCGCGCTGGGCCAGGCCCACGCCTGCCAGCTTCTCGTCTCCATCACATGCTGTTGGTTACCGGCTCCTCTTTGCTCGCCCGCGAGCCGCAACGCCGTTGCCTCGGCCTAACGCCACTCTGAGGATTGGGCGGCTTTCGACCAACCTATCGGCCTGTCACCTATGCCGTACATTGCAACAAACAATGCCGATATCGAGCAAGCTAGGCAAAAGACCTGCTGCCTAGACCGCCAGCCCATCGCCTAACGGGCCCCTCGCGTGCGGCCAGCTGGGCATCATGTGCCGGACGACGACGACGACTACGTCGACGACCGACCGACCGAACGACGGGGGGGCTCGTTTGGGCGCCGGCTGAGTGACTGCGCGATGCCGCGAATTCGGACAGCGTCCCAACCGGCACTTCAGCTAGCGTGCACCTTGCCACCGCTTCCCGCCACCAAGGGACGATCCCCAGGAAAGCGAACGGGCGGGATCCCAACCGGGTTTTCATGCTCCGGTCTCGACCCTCTCTCTCTGATTCTCGGTGCGTGCGCTCGCTGTTCCCGCCCCGACATCTCTGCCTGATCTCTTCGCTCTGGTCAAGCTAGGTACCCGCTCCCCTGGGCCGCCTCACACGCGCCGTGTCCCTTTGAACCTCGAGCTACCTCGAACCCCAGGGCCTGACCGCCCTGGCCTGTCCCTCGCACCGATCCCGTCGGCGGCCACAGCACTGCAACGCGAGCGGATGCGTGCCTGTCCAGCGGTACCTAAGACGGCCCACAGTGTAAAGGTCGGATGAACCTGCAGCGTCGGGGAGCCAGACGCTGCGTATTGCAGTCCCGCCCCTCGTCTGGATCGGACAATGTCCCGTCGGATGCTGCCCGCCACGGTGCCCGCCCGCCACGTTGCAAGCTTTCCCTTCCCGCCTGGGCATGGTCGTCACCGCTGGACCCCGGCTCACGAGCACAGGGCGGCCGCCGCTCTCTCCCACGCTCGCTCATGCCGAGTCCAGCTCAGCTTGAAACACACCAATCTTGACAGCTCGCGCCGCCGCCACTCTGGCCTGGCTTTGCCACACGCGCGCCTGCGTCGACCTCTGCTATAAGACTCGAGCAGCTCTCTGTGGCTGATGACTGCCGTAGCCTCATCCTTCAAGCAAGCCAGACCCCCCTCGACACCCTCCCTCGCCCTGTCCGACTCCTTCGTCTCGGTGTAGTCCACCGTTAGACCTCGACGCGCCAGCGGACGTCTCGACCGCAACCCCCCAGCCTCGACCCGTCTCGGCTCACCTCACAAGTACACAAGATGCGGCCGATCTGCGCCACGCGGCGCTTTGCCAGCCTCGGACTGGCGGCGGCTGCCACGGCGGCCGTCTCGCTGCTGCCCAGCTTTGCCACCGCCCAAGACGCGGCGGCCAACTACGGCCGCGCCGACTGCCTGATGGAGAACTGCTCGCCCTCGCAGTCGGGCTACCTCGACGGGTACAACTTTGACCCGGCCATCGTTGGTGGTCCTACCTGGGGCCAGCTCTGGAACACGGCGCTCGAGTCGTACGGCTTCCTCGCCCAGCCCATCACCTACACGCCTCCCGGCCAGTCGCAGAGCGTCATTGTTGCGTCCGAGACCAACAAGGGTGAGTGAAGCGCAGCGCCGCCGCGGACGATAAGCCAACGACGTGAACTGACCGAGTAATCCCGCTTCTGCTCCTCTCGGACCGGCAGTCTATGTCCTCGACGCGGCCACCGGTGCGGTGCGCAAGACGCGCTCGCTGGGACCGCCGATGGCGTCGGCCGACGTGCAGTGCAACGACCTCTCGCCGTGGATCGGCATCACGGGCACGCCCGTCCTCGACCCGGCCAGCAACACGCTCTTCTTCTGGTCCAAGAGCTACGCAGACGGCACCACCTCGGGACTCGACAACGGCCGTTACAGGTTCTACGGCGTTGACCCTGTAACACTCGAGAATCGTTTCGCGCCATTCGACCTGCAGGGCACGCCCGCCGGCAACCGGCCCGACCAGTACTTCGAGGGCGGCAAGGTGCTGCAGCGCACCGGACTGCTCCTCAACAACGGCATCGTCTACGCCGGCTTCGGCGGCCACTGCGACAACTTCAACTACACCGGCTGGATCGTCGGCATGGACGCCGCCAGCGGCAAGTTCGTCACCTCGTTCAGCACCTCGTCGCCCGGAGGCACCGGATCGGGCATCTGGATGTCCGGCGGCGGCCTCGCCTCGGACGGCAGCTCGCTGTGGTTCGTGACAGGCAACGGACGCTCGGGACAGGAGCTCACGACGGTGCCCCGCATCGGACGCAACGTCCCCAAGTCCCTGCCCATGTCCGTCGTCCGCATGCCCCTCACCGCCAACCTCGCTGCCGCCGACTTCTTCTGGTGAGTACTAGCACATGGCGTGCCACCGTCAGACGCCCAGGTGGAGGCAGGCCTGCCGCGCCCGACCCGACGCGTCGCGGCGCTGCCACCATATTTTTTTTTTCTTCACCGCCACCCGTCCTGACCATCCCTTTGCATCCCTACTTTTACAACTCCTCCTCGACAACATCGATACTGCTCGACCAGCCCCAGCGATCTGCTTGCCATAGATGCTGCGGATCAAGATTTCGGTAGCAGTGGTGTTGCTCTGCTTCCCAAAGGCTTTGCAGCCGGCGGCGTTGGACGGATCGCGATTGCCCAGGGCAAAAACAGCAAGGCTTATATCCTCAATGCCGACAACCTGGGCGGTTTCAAGACGGGCTCGGGAGGCGGCGACGGCAACCTGCAGACGATCCAGCTCAACGGCCAGTCGTTCTCGACTGCCGGTGGCTACCCGCTCGAGGGCGGCTACATCTACATTTCGTCGACGGGCGCGCCGACGCTGGCGCTCAAGTCTGGCGTTGACGGCAACGGTGCGCCCAACTTTGCCCAGGTGGGCCAGTCCGAGACGGCGGCCAGCGGCGTGCGCGGTGCGGGTCACACGACGACATCGTCGATGAACGGCCAGCCCGGCTCCGGTCTCCTCTGGATCACCGACACGGGCAACGGCAACCTGCGCGTCTACAACGCCGTGCCGCCCGCCGACGGCGTCATGAAGGCCATCTACACGGCCTCCTTCGGCGGCGCCAAGATGCAGCGCCCCGTCCCCGGCAGCGGACGCATGTTTGTGGCGTCGTCGAGCGGAACTGTGGTCGCGTTTGGCGCGCCCGTCAACCAGCCCATCAACTGCACCACGCCGCTCCAGTACGGCACCGTCGTCGTCGGGACCAGCGCCTCGATCCAGGTCAACTGCACGGCGCTCATCGACACGCAGATCTCGTCGACGCGTCTGTCGGACGCCACGTCGTACACCACGACGGCCATCCCCACGACCCCGCTCAAGGCCAACACGGCGTTCAACTTCAACGTCACCTGGACGCCCAAGAAGGCGGCGTCCGTCTCGGACACGCTCATGATCAGCCTCGTGGCCGACCCGACGGGCAAGTTCGTCACCTCGGTGCCGGTCGTGATGCGCGGCGTCGCTGCCACCTCGGGCCCCACGTTCAGCGTGACGCCCAACAACGTCGCCTTCGGCGGCCTCGTGCCCGGCGCCGCCGATTCGGTCGGAGGCGTCAACAAGAGCATCTCGCTCCAGAACCTCGGCCTGGGCGGCATGACGGTCCAGAGCTGGGACTTTGACGAGGTCTACGGTGCCGTCGACGACGACGACGACGATGCGGCCCCCGCCACTCCGAGCCCTACGAGCGACGCCGACGGCGTCCTCGAGGACCGCAAGACGACGACGGGCAACTTTACCCTCTACTCGATGCCCGACGCCATCGCGGCCCAGTCGGCCACGGCGCTGACGCTCAACTTCAACCCCACCGTCAACGGCATCTACAAGGCGCTGCTCAAGATCACCACCAACGGCGGCACCGCCACGGTGCTCCTCACCGGCTCCGCCTCGAGCCCGGCCAAGCTGTCGTTCGCCACCGAACAGTTCGACGGCACCTACCTCGACAATGTTCCCTCGATGGACTACGGCAACGTCCCCGCCGGCAGCGTCCGCACGCTCCACCTCAACGTCACCAACAACGGCGAGGCGGCGCTCACCATCACCAAGTCCAAGCCGCCGTCGGGCACCAACATCTACGCCACCAACCCGACGGGCGACCTCACCGAGGGCGAGCACATCGAGGCCGGCGAGACCGAGTCGGCGGCCGTCGAGCTGCGCGTGCCCGACGCCGTCGTCAACTCGGTCGCCTACAACGTCTCGGGAGAGTGGGTGCTCAACGGCAACGACCCCGACTTTGGCGTCCACTTTATCGAGATGACGGCGCGCATCGTCAGCAGGCAGGTCGGCCCGCAGCTCGACGCCGCCGCCACCGCCGCCGCTCCGTACGACACGGCGCGCTTCAAGTACCTCGGATGCTTCCCCGGCGGCCCCGCCCGCGCCCTTCCGACCCGCATGAACACGGCCACACCGCTCGACAACGGCGTCTGCCAGACGCTCGGCCTGCAGAGCAACGCGGCCAACTTTGTGGGCACCGAGTACGCAGGCGAGTGCTACAGCGGCCTCACTGCGCCCGACGACAGCACCAAGGTGTCCGACGACAAGTGCGCCATGACCTGCCAGGGCGACGCCACCCAGTACTGCGGCGGCAACGGCTACGTGAGCGTCTTCTACGATTCGCTCGCCTACGACCCGGCCACCAAGACCTACGCGCCGGGCACGTTCCTCGGACCGCAGAACGTCGCCGACGGCGTCAACGGCTACAAGTACGTCGACTGCGTCTCCGACAACGGCGGCGCCCGATCGCTCTCGGGCCCGACGTACACCGACGGCACCGGCATGACGGTCGAGACGTGCGTCGCCTTCTGCTCGGCCAAGGGCATGTCGATCGCCGGCCTCGAGTTTGCCCAGGAGTGCTTCTGCGGCAACAGCCTCACCTCCAACGCGCTCCTCCAGCAGACGGGATGCACCATGGCCTGCAAGGGCAGCCGCAACGAGCTGTGCGGCGGCCCTTCGCGCCTCTCGGTCTACGCCCTCAACGGCAACCTCTCCGGCGGCGCGCCACCCGCCGCCACCACGACGACCAGCGCCGCCGGAAGCACCGCGACCGCCTCGCCGCCTGGCGGCACCGCCCTCACGCCCGCCGAGACAGCCGCCTACCAGGGCTGCTGGAGCGACGCCGTCGCCAGCCGCGTCATGCCCAGCCAGCAAATCAACGGCGCGACCAACAGCATCACCGCCTGCCGCGCCGCCTGTGCCGCACAGGGCTTCGCCCTCGCCGGTGCCGAGTACGGCCAGGAGTGCTGGTGCGCCAACGCCCTCGCCGCGACCTCGAAGCAGATGCCCGAGGCCGACTGCAACATGAAGTGCCCCGCCAACCAGGCGCAGACCTGCGGCGCCGGCGACAGGCTCTCGGTCTACGCTGCGGCTGATGCCGCTGGCGGCTCGTCGTCCACGACCACGACCGCCGCCACCGCAACCACCACCACGACCACCACTGCCGCCACTGCCACGACGGCGACGTCGACTTCGACGAGCGCCACGGCCACCAGCACCGCGCCCGCCTCGTACGTCGGCTGCTACAGCGACAGCGTCAACGCCCGCACCTACTCGTTCCTCGGCGCGCGCAGCTCGTCGGTCTCGGTCGACTTCTGCCGCACCACCTGCGCCGCCCAGGGCTACGCGCTCGCCGGCATGGAGTACGCCAACGAGTGCTTCTGCGGCAACGCGATCCCCACGACGGCCAAGCAGATGCCCGAGACGGACTGCAACATGAAGTGCGCCGGCAACTCGGCCCAGATCTGCGGTGCGGGCGACCGCCTCTCGGTCTACCAGGCCGTTGACCCCGTCTCGTCGAGCACGACCAGCGCCACGGCCACGGCTACTTCCACCGCCACCAGCACCGATGCCTCCTCGACCTCGACCTCGACCTCGACCTCGACCTCGACCTCGACCTCGTCCTCGACCTCGACGATGACGACCAGCGCGACGAACACGAGTGCCACGGCGACCAGCACCACTAGCACAGCCACCAGCACCACTAGCACAGCAGCCACAACCACCACGTCGACCACTGCTGCACCCACCAGCACCAACCCGGCGTACAAGGGCTGCTACAGCGACGGCGCCACCCGCGCGCTCTCCTACCGCGCGCTCCAGGACTCGACCGTGACCGTCGAGGTGTGCCGCGCCGCGTGCCAGGCCAAGGGCTACCCGATCGCCGGCATGGAGTACACAAACGAGTGCTGGTGCGGCACGTCACTGCTGGGCGGATCGACGATCAAGCCCGAGGCGGACTGCAACATGCCGTGCGCGGCCAACGCCAAGCAGATCTGCGGCGGGCCCAACCGCCTCTCGGTCTACTCGGACATTGCCGACCTGTCGAGCATCGTCGTCAGCCAGCCAGCCAAGATCACGACGCCCGAGGGCGCCGCCTGGGGCTCGCTCGGCTGCTACGTCGATGACGGAGGACGCATCCTCAACGACAAGGCGCCCAACCTCGGACGCTCCAACACCATCGAGGCCTGCGCCTCGGCGTGCGCCGGCTTTGGCTACTTTGGCGTCGAGTACGGCACCGAGTGCTACTGCGCCAACGCCATCCGCGCCGACGCCAAGACTGCGCCTGCCTCGGAGTGCAACATGCTCTGCAGCGCCAACGCCACCGAGTACTGCGGAGCGGGCAACCGCATCGGCGTCTACCAGGTCTCGACTGCCGCCGCGGGCACTGGCGCCACCTCGACTTCGACTTCGACATCGGCCACCGCCACTTCTACCACGGCGACCGGCTCGTCGACCAGCGCCACGTCGACCTCGACCAGCACCACGTCGACCTCGACCAGCATCACGTCGACCTCGACTGCGACGCCCACGTCGACGAGCACCACCGCGACCCCGACCTCGACTGCGACGCCCACGTCGACCTCGACGAGCACCAGCTCGAGCACGACCTCGACTTCGACGTCGACGACCTCGTCGGCCGCACCGGCTCCCACCGCCGACGGCGTGTCTATGCTGGGCTGCTTCACCGACTCGGGCTCCGCGCGCTCGCTCTCGGTGACGGCGTACCAGAACAACAACACGAACAGCGTCGCCGGCTGCGCCCTGACGTGCCGCGCCAAGGGCTACCGCTTCAGCGGCGTCGAGTACGGCGGCGAGTGCTACTGCGACAATTTCCTGCAGAACCAGGCGGCCACCGCGGGGCCGGGCGCCATGGGCTGCAGCTACGTCTGCCCGGGCGACAAGACGTCGCTGTGCGGCGGCAGCTCGCGCATCAACATCAGCCAGGACTCGCAGTGGCAGCAGAAGCTGTTCACGGTCAAGCAGTCCGGGCAGTGGAAGCACCTTGACTGCTACGTCGACTCGCAGGCCAAGCGCACGCTCAACATCACGCTGGCGCCCAAGCTCAAGACGGTCGAGTCGTGCCTCGACGCGTGCAACGCGCGCAACATGACGAGCTGCGGCGTCGAGTACGGCGGAGAGTGCTACGGCTCGACGACGTTTGACAAGACGGCCGCCACCCCGGCTCCCAGCACCGGCGCCACGGACCCGCTCGCCCGCGGGTGCAGCATGCCGTGCACGGGCAATACGACGCTCGCCTGCGGCGGAGGCGCCCGCATCAACGTCTACCAGTACGACTACAACGCCGATGCCGTCAACCCGTCGCTGCTGTTCAAGCTGCCCTGAGCGGGAATGTCCAGCCGGCCGACCGCCCTCTCCTCTCCTTTAGCATCATCTCATAGACCGTCCGCTTTCGTCTCTTCGGCTCTGTACATAGGCTCTGGCATACCAGGGCGCGCGGTTCCCTCGCGCCGCGGCCTTCGACCTCCTTCTCCGTCTCTTTTCTCTCTCGGGTCCCCGTGATCACTCCAACACCATCCACACACTCTCTCTAGCACTCGATCTGTCGCTCTCCTCTGTCACCGTAGTCATACACGCAGGTCCCCGATCTGAAACTCGATTGGCTTCTCTCCACCTCTTGTCTGTCTGGGCTTTCTTTCATTCGGCACCGAACAACGACCGCCAGCTTTTCAGCTGCTCCTCGTCCGATTACAGCCGGCCTGACGACGAAGCTGGACAAGCAAGGACCTGGATCCTGGCACGCCCATGCGCCTACCTCGAAAGAAGAACGGGGTTTGGCGGCAGGTACGGTTCGGCGGACTGTCAAACCAGCGCGGGAAGCCCTTTGCATGCAGTTCAGCGGGCAGGGAGGCAGACCGAGTCGCCCAGGACGGCACGGGATGCCCGTCGGGTCTCACCGCCTTGCCTGAGCGCCCCATTGCTTCCTTGGCGGCGAAGGCGATGGAGGCCCCGTGTCCGGTCTTGCTTGCTTGCCTGCTTGGTCGTCAGGCTGGCATACGATCCATGAGACGAGAGTGGCTTCCTTCGTTCCAAGACGCGGGAGAGGAGCAGCATCGATGCGATCCTCGTCGACCGGACGGTCCCGTCGCGTGCAATCTGGCTGTCGCCACCGATGCCACCGACGAGGTCACGTTTGACATTCACAGCACAATCTTCGAGCTATCGCCACCTCGTCCGCAACGAGGGGTCGAGCAAGAGGCTACCGCGTCCTCGTTCGTATCCGCGCCTGCTACGGCCATAAAGTCAAGTCGAGCGAAGGAGAAGGGGGCGAGCGGGCGTCTGGCTCGACGGCAAACGTGGGCTCTACTCACAGCTGAGGGTTTCTGCCGTCGGGGCCCTGTCGGGGCTAACTGGGCTGGGCTGGGCCAGGCTGGGCTGAGCCGGGCTGCTCGCGGCGCGCAGGCCGCCCCAGCGGAAGCCCCGACGCGGGACCCAGCCTGCCTGCCTCTTCGTTTTGTTTTCCCGCCCGGGCGTCCCCGACGCAGGTGCGGACCTGCAGTTTCGCGCAGCGTTCGCTCGCCTGGCAGGCCTGGCCGCGCCTTCCTTGCTTGGGCCCAGAACTCGGCTGCGCTGTTGGAGCTGCCCGTGCTTTGCTGCTCGTGTTTCTGTGGGTCGATCTGGTCTGCCCGGCCTGCTCCCCGCACCACCACCACCACCACCACCCACCCACCACCCACCGCTTGGTTCCCTGCCATCCAGCCCGCCTGCCCGCCTGCATACGCACGAGCGGCCTTCCCGTGCCTAGCCTGCCACCGTTGCCCGGATGTCGCCCTCCCCCCACCCTACCTGTCACAAATCAGATCGAGTGTCTCGTCGCACTTGGCTTGAGCCCAATGACAGCCCAGCCAGCTGCGTCCTGGGCCTGCCTGCCCCACTGGCCGCCGCTTGATTCCTGCTTCACCTGCGCGCTTCCACGGGAAGGCAAGGTAGAGATGGTGTCCATCGCCTGCCATGCCGGCTTCTTCCCGCCCTTTCCATCCCTTTGTGTCCCTTTTCGGGTCCGGACCGCTCCGTCGCCGCGCCGCACCGCACCAGCCTCGTCGACTTGTTTTGCACCGCCTCCTCGACGCTCGCTCCCTTGCTGGCCTGCCCGCCTGCCCGCCTGCCTGCCTGCCTGCTTCGACAGGGCCGCTTGCTTCTCGCAATGATCCATGCAGGAACATGCTAGGCTCCTCGCCGTTTCCCGCCGGTCGTCACCTGCTCTGGGGCAAGGACGGCGCGCGTCCAGAGTCGACCTGGCCACGTCGAGCCTCGTCAGGCAACACTGCCCGGCGACGCTCCCGTCCTGGTCCTTTTCGCACGCACGTAGACCAGACGTCGACAGAGTGCCGCTTTCCTCGCTTTCAGAACCCTGGCGATCCGGGAGCTGCCCTTGCATGCCGTCAGCTACGCTACGCTACGCTACGCTACGCTACGCTACGCGCCACTTGGCCGTCGCCGCCTCGACTTGCAGCCGCACCCATCCGCGCCGCTCTGACCTAGCCCGGCCGGCGTTCTCGCACCGTGCCGGCACAACATCGTCGAGCTCCTCTTGCGTCCGACGTGCGAAAAAAGGCGACGCCGGCCATTGGCCGGATGGGCGATCGTCGGCGGCCCACTTCCAGGTGGCCGCCCGCCCACCATGCGCCCTTGCCCACGCTCAACTGGGTCGCCGCCGGAAGCACACACAAGCAAGGCAGATCACAAGGGTCCTCGTCCGCTCTCTTTCTTGCTTAGCCTTGGCGCGACGCACCTGGACAACAAAACGTCTACATCGCCCGCTCGCGCCCCCTTCGCGTGCTCGCGTGGTCATCATGGCATGATGGCTGGCTCCCCGCCCTGTTTCCCCGTGCTCCTGACCCCTGCGCCGATGGTGAAAAAAGGTGATGGACCCCGCGATGACACCTGGCTCGCCCAGCCTAGAAGTTAATCCGCCAGTCTGGTGGCGGTCGCGGTAGGCCCCTTGGTTCGCTGCGAGCTGCGACGCATACTCAGTCCCGTCTCGCCCGATCTCTCACGTCAGACCTTTCTGCGTGGCCTTGGGCCCGCTTCAACCTCGACCTCGTCCCTTTGCCCTTCCCACAGCAGCGGCTGACCGACCCTCGCAAGCTTGATCTCGGCCTCGGCCCGGCCCTGGAAGCCCATGCGCCTGCCCATCCCCCGAGTAGGACGAGTGTCAGCCGGGACGAGTGGCACCCTCGTGGCCGGGCCCCCTCGGCGGCATCGCGACGATTGTCCTCGTCCGGCCTTCGCTCGGCCCACGTTTGCCCGTCTGCTCCTTCTTGAGCTGCCCGCGCTTGCCACCTGATCAACCACGGTAGCAGCGTTGTACGAGTCGTCGGCCCTTCTTTGCGGCGTCGGCCCTTCGCGCGCCATGCAGCAGCGGGAGCGGTGGCTCGCGCGCTCGAGATCGACGGCCGTCGACCTTCCAGGCTCCGTCATCCCGCTGCGCCCGCCCTTGCGTCGTCTCTATGGACCACCATGCCCCCCCGGACCACGAGGGCAGGAAGTACGTAGGGGCACGCCCGTGCACTCCCCGTGCCCGCCTGGCTCGCCGCTGGTCAGGAGTCTCGGGGCCATTGGGCCAGGCCCGCCACCTTCCGACGGACACCCCGATTCGGAGTCGACCCGGTCTCTATGGCGGGCCCTCCGGAGGCTTTAGCTTCGTCAGGCACCGACGCGCTGCATCCATTGTAGCTTGCGATCCCGAACCCTCCGACGGCACCCCTCTCCACCTACAGCGGCGACGGCAGCGCGGCGGCATGCGCGCGTGGCAGTGCGTGCGCGCTGTAGGGCGTGCTTCGACTCCGCAGTCCCGACCTTGTCCAGACCGGGCGGGACCGCCACCGTCGGTAGGTACGGGGCATGGCAAACGACGACGAACAGGCCCTTCTGCATGGCACCGACCCCGACGAGGGACGGAGCTACCCAGCGACGGACTTTGGGCCGTCCAGAGCGGTAAGCCCGCTCGTCGGACCGCCCGCCATTGAGAGGGGGGGGGGGGGGGGGGCTTTGCTGCTGCGCACCGAGGAGCCATCGACCCGAGAGGATATAAGCCGGCCACACTCCGACCCCTTCCTCCCCTCTCATTCCATCCTCATCCTCATCCACATCCTCCTCCAACTCGCCTACTTCCTCCTCCTCTTCATCGAGCTCATTCATCGGCCTTCTTCGAACACCCACCCAAGCAACCCTCCGCAAGCCCTCGCCATGAAGCTCACCGCCACCTTCTCGCTCCTCGCCGCCGCCATCATGGCCGGCTCCGTCTCGGCCCAGTCCGACGACAGCTTCGACGCCATCATCACGGCGATTGCCAGCATCGACCCCACCGCTGGCGGCCCTGACCCGCTCGCCTACCCCTCGCAGCCCGTCGAGGCCGTCGAGGTCGTTGCCAAGCTCAGCGGCGACGGCGACCTGGTCAAGTCGACCGACGCCTTTGACGTCGAGCACTTCCAGGCCGAGTCCAACGACGGCAGCTCGGACGTGACCCTGGTCGGCGAGAGCGCCCCCGTCGCCCGCTCCCTCTACTCGAACGGCATCAACAAGGGCAGCATCGCCCGCCGCGAGATCCCCCCCGTCTCGGTCGCCGCCGACCGCTACGAGCAGGTGTTTGGCAGCAACAACGACCTCTACGCCGCCAAGGGCTTCCACGACGCCTCGATCCAGGGCCCCTTCTACCTGACCTACACGGTCGTCTCGAACGGCACCGCGCCCGCTCAGTACTCCGCCGCCAAGGAGGCGTGCTTCACCCGCTGCGACAAGACCAAGGGCTGCACCTTTGTCAACATCTTCAACGAGAAGAACAACCGCCTGCTCGACGAGGTCTTTAGCGAGAAGAGCGACCTCAAGTGCGCCCTCTACGGCGACGTCTTCACCGAGGGCCAGAAGACCAACTACGGCGGCCAGCAGCTCAAGGAGAACGCGCCCCTGACGGCCATCTACAACTCGTTTGGCTTCCGCAAGCCCGCCGTCGGCGGCCCCGTCGCCGGACCCTTTGACGTGCCCGGCTACAACCGCACCGAGCTCGTCGGCGCCGTCCGCGACAACCTGCTCCCCGCCGGCAGCGGCAACATTGGCAGCAGCATGCTGACCCAGTACAGCCCGCAGAAGTGCGCCGACGCGTGCAACCAGAAGGCCGGCTGCAACTACTTCAACATCTGGAGGGCCGAAGTCAAGGGCGCCCCGCGCTCCTACTCGTGCGTCCTCTACGGCGCCACGCCCGCCTCGGGCACCGACAGGAACTACGGCCAGTGGATCGAGGGCGGCACCGTCAAGCTCAGCGTCACCCAGTCGCGCGGTTACGCCAAGCAGGCCGTGCCCGTCTAGACAGGCAGCGCGCGCGCGTGGCACCCATCCGGGGGCCTAGCTGGCCCTCGTCGTTGGCCCGCGACTTTTCTCGCTGCCCGGTCGAATCCTCCTCTTCTCGATCTTCGCTCATACTAGATTCCCAGTCCCGGTTGCTTCTTTCATGTCCCGGCTGAGGTCGCTCCCTTGGGCCCTAGGGACCGCCTGCTCCTGCGCGTGCGCGAGCAGAGCAGCGCAGTCCCGAGGCCCGGACTGACTCCACCTCCTCTTGCAGCTTTCCCGCATCCCCCCCTGCCTCTGTCAGTCTGTACTTGGGCCGTCTTGTTTATTCTCGTCGTCACGAAAAATGTCACCGTCTTTTCTTCTCATTTTGTCGTCGTCGTCTTCGGCGTCAACAGGAGTGTGCCTGTGGGTTGCTTCGAGCAGCGGCTGGTCGGGATGCGACCCGGGACGGCGCGCGGAAGGGAGGCCAGAAGGGCGGTCCTTCGTCGGAGCGCTTCCGGGCCCTTTGGCTGGACAGCTCGCTTCCTCATGCGTGCGGGCCCTACCGAGACGTGCTACTGAGCTTGTCGATGCCATGGCCGGGACGTTCCGATGAACGACCGTGAGGCGAGGATGCGGACGAGGTGGCTGCTGGGGCAAGGAGCGCTTCGTAGGCTGGGTCGGCGCGACCTGGAGGGAAAAATCTCGGCACTCGGGCTGGGCCGCTGCCGAGCGTTGGGAAGCTGGCCAGGCCAGGCCAGGCCAGACCAGACCAGCGCCCGACCTGCATGCAGCGAGCTGGCCTAGCCTCCTGCTCCCTCCCTTCCACTTCCTCCCTCACCACCACCATCATCGCCACCGCCGCCGTCGTCTTGGACCCCCGATCCTCCTCTGCGCTCCCACACTCGCCTCTTGCGTCTTACCCCGTCTCGACTCGGCCTCATCCTTCCTCGTACCTGGCCCCGCCGCACCGCACCCCCGCCAGCACCGCCTGATCCTCTCTACACGCATACACTCTCCACCGCGTCGTTCCATCTGCCCGCGCTAGTCCAGCCAGCTCTCTCCCGCGCCATCTCGCATTCACTCTCCAACCCCCTCCGCTCCACATCTCATAGCTCGACATGGCATCATCAGCGACAGCACGGCGGCTGCGACGCGGTCTCGCAGAAGACGAGGATGCGGGTCTCGGCAAGCTGGGTCCAGGTGAGTCGTCGACGCCATCAGCGCTATCGACCCGGGCTACCCCGCCCCGTCCCCGCCACGCTTCGCGCTGAGCCGGAACGGCATGTTCGACCGGGACTGACTGACACACCCGCTCCTCACTGCGCCTCTCCACTCTGCACACCGCGGCGCAAACAGACTTCAACGACGCCGGATGCCTCCTCATCTCCGAGGTCAACCTCTTCTTCTCCCAGCCGGCAGGCGACGGCGCCGAGCCTGCGTCTAAAGACGATGGTGCCACTGCGTGAGCATCGCCATATCCCCTGACGGATACGCCGCGTTCCGCATCGTCGCTCCGTGTGCTTCGTCGGCCGCGGTCGTTGTGGGCCCCTCGCTCATCCTTCCCCACAATCGCCCCCTCTGCCCGCCAACAACAGCGTCGCGGAAAAGACGAAAGCATACGTCGCCGAGTTCAGCAGGTACAAGGACCGGCCTACGATTCGAGAAATCCGAGCGTGAGTGTCGCCCTCGTTGTCATGTCGTCATCTCGTCTCGCACCTGGCGTCAAAGGAGCAGGATGTGGTCGGCTGACGTCTGCCCTTCCTCCTCTCGCCCCGCACCGCACTGCACCGCGCAGGATCCTGATGAAGCACGCGGCCAAGAGCGACGAGGAGCGCGAGTACGACGAAGAGGGCAACCTGATCGAGGACGACGGGCTGGCGCTCACGCAGTTTGAAATGGCGCAGCTCGCCAACCTCTGCATCACCGAGGTCGAAGAGGCAAAGAGCCTCATCCCGACGTGAGTTTCCTCCCTCCCCTCTCCTCCGCTGCAGCCGAGGCGGTCAGCGCCGGCGCCGTGACTCCCTCCGTTGACGCGCCACGCCGTACCGCACCGCATCCCTCTATCTGGCCCCCCGACGCTGCTCACTGCGGCCACACTCTGCAGGCTGGCAGGCAAGGATGACGGGCTCCTCGATTCGCTCCTCCAGGAGCTCGACAACGTCCGCCGCTTCTCGTGACGCGTCGTCTGCGCACACGCACAAGCATCAGCACATCGTCGCTGCTGCCGCCACTGCTGCTGTGCGAGTGCATCCCGTTTCCGGTTCTTTCGTCGTCCTTGTTGCGGTGCCGTGCCCGCTACAACCTGTATTCTAGTCACGTCCGTCGTCTATGCGGCCCCTGGTCCCCTCTTAGATGGGGACGGGGGCTTGGGAGGGGGAGAGAACGGAGGAGTGGTGGTGGAGGAGGGGAGATGGAGGGGGTTACGGCGGGGTCCAGGCTGCCCGCCGTGTCGTGCCCAATACGGTGCGGCATGGGCGGGCGAGTGGGGCCTGGACCCCGTCGCGGGAGTGGGAACGAGGCGAGACAGCCGAACCCGAATCAACGGCACGCAACGTAGCCGCTTCAACCGCCTTCAGTATCGGCGGCGCCACAGTCGCCTCGTCGTGACGCCGCCCCTGTTTTGCCCCTGTTTTGCCCCTGTTTTGGGTGGGGCGCGCGCGGTAGCACTGGTGCAGCGAGTGCGAGTGCCTCGGCGCGCGCGCCCCGCCCATGGGACCCTCGGTCGTGCCATCGAGTCGAGGTACCGCTCAATGGAGAGCGAGGGTCCCTTGATGGCCGTATCCGACGATCTGCTTGCCCGATTGCCTGCCTTTTTGCTCGCATGCCCGCTTGCCTGCCGTTGGCGAGCATCTAGATCCTCTGACGGTGGCCTTCAACACCAAGGCGGTGTTCGGACGTCGACGCCGACGACGACGACGACGACGACGACGATGACGATGGGGGGACCCACTCCTTGCGCGGGAGGGGACAGGAGTAGAGGGCGTAGTCGTGGCACCACCACTTGAAGAACTCCCACATCGGCGGGCCGTAGTAGAAGTAGAGGTATCCGAAGAGGGCGCCGCCGAGGTGGGCAATGTGGTCGAATACCGCCCAGCCGCGCAGTGCACCGAGTAGATCGAGTGCCACCATGCTGGGTGGGCGTAAGGGGAGGCAGCAGCAAGAAGGGCGGCGGGGGGGGGGGGAATGCGGGGTGTGTGCACGATGTCAGTCTTCGTTCGGTCCAGGTAGGCAGGGCGGGCGCGCGGTTGGTCGCTTCACTCACCACTGTACGCCCGTCCCAATGGGCAGCGTGAACATGGGCAGAAAGATGAGGCTGTTTGCGCCGAGCGACGGATGGGAGGAGCGGAGCGGAGAGGAGAGGAGAGGAGAGGAGAGGAGAGGAGAGGAGAGGAGAGGAGAGGAGAGGAGAGGAGAGGAGAGGAGAGGAGAGGAGAGGAGAGGAGAGGAGAGGAGAGGAGAGGAGAGGAGAGGAGAGGAGAGGAGAGGAGAGGAGAGGAGAGGAGAGGAGAGGAGAGGAGAGGAGAGGAGAGGAGAGGAGGAGGAGGAGGAGGAGGAGAGGAGGAGGAGGAGGAGGAGGAGGAGGAGAGGAGGAGGAG